TGGGTGTCCCAGGATTTGAGCTTGTGATGTTAGCTCAGGAGCAAAGCATTGAGTGTCTTACAAATTTTAGCCCAGCTGTAGGCATGCTTAGATTTATTTAGGAATCTTATGTGGAAAATAAAAATAAGAGTTAAAATGGAAAGAAATGAGCCGAGCTAAGGCTGTAATTAATTGACACAGCAGCAACAACTGGTAAAACTGTTAAGGAAGCAGATGGAGGATTGTTGGGGACCACAAATTATAAATTGAGGCCAGAGGCTATTCGAAGGAAGTGCTTTATCTGTCTCGTGGGCCCCTTTGGAACACAAGAATTCCCGCTTTCTTGCGGCCACTGTGGAGACCTGTGAGACTGCGGCCTCACAGGGCAAGATGAGCTCTGCTGGGGGTGATGCAGGGAGCCCAAGCACCCAGGTGGGCAAGGATCTTGTTGTTCTTGTGATGTTAAACTTGTTTTGTTTTTACTGCTCGCATTCCAGGAAAAAAAAAAAAAAAAAAAAAAACCTTTCCATGGCAAGGACTTAGCTCTAGAAAAAATAAGAGTGGGCCAGCCTAGGAGGTCTTTGTCTTTGCTCAGCCCGAGGCACTGACCTCCCAGGCCCCTTCTAACTTCCTTCACTGTGTCCCTCACATAGGCAGCCGGGGGTCTTGCCCGGGTCCAAGCTGAGGATGTTAATACTTGGCATTTACAGTGTGCTAAAGGTTGCCAAGATGCGCATATCCATGGGCTACTACAAGCGCTATTAAGTGCGATCTCTTTTCAATCACATTGTCCAGCAGGCTTTTGTTTATAAAACTTCTACCATTTAGTTTTATGTTACTTGGTTGAATTCCTAAAGGTTTATAGGTAGGATTCCAGTATTTTTTCTTTGGTTGTCCAGGTATACAATCTTACTAACCTCTTCTCAAATTATGTAAATGTTACTATATGTAAAATCTTGCCGTGATCACAGAGCAGACTCTGGCACAACATGATGTGTGGTTGATGCCCACCTTCGGCCAGGTCCATCCATCCCCCTCAGCCTTTTGCACAAGACAAGGGAAAGTGATTGCAAGAGTGAGAAGGAGAGAGACCAAGAGGCATGAGCCCATTCTGTTGCAGAGGCAAATATACCAAATAGCCTCGTTATGTGCTTGATCTAAATTCTTTGAAAATAGGCACAGGAGGAAGGTGATGGTTTATAATGAGACTTAAAAATCCCAACCAGGTACAAAACTCAGAATCCTCTCAAATACACTTACAGGGAGGCAAATCAATGCCACTACGTAGTACCAGGTAGCAGCGGGGGCCCAGCTAGGCACGGATTGTTCAGCTGGAATCACACACTCCTGCCCAGCAAGCTAAGTACACTGGCTCAGCCTGCTCAATTAACTTTGCAATTATTCATTCTCATATTGTTGTAGGCAGCTGAGCTAGATAGAAATATTATAGGCAGTCAGACAGGGCCAGGCCCTCAGAGGAGATAACAGAAGACAAGATACACTGCAACTGAGAGAGATGGATGCCCCTGCTGTGGGCCAGACCTAAAGACCAAAAATCAAACAAATGCTTACCTCCCGAAAGACAAGCATCTGGGATTGATCATCACCTTGAGGAAGCCAGGAAGAGTCACTAATCCAACTGCTACTTGCTGGCCACTGGACAAAGTCCTGCTCTATATTCATGCCCGCTTGCTACATGACTCGCTTCCCCATTTGATCCTGGACTTTATCAATTTTACCTGAGCAGTGGTGCTTGTAATCTCATTGGTTGACCATAGTTTTGTCCCACCTCATGTCCACCTAAGCAAGTTTCCATGTTCTCCACATTAGACCTGCAGGTTTTTACTGCATGTCCCTGGAAGAGACAGCTTCCCGGAGACCACCTGCTTGGGCCCCCCTCCTGTCCATCTCTCGGACAGGAGCTTTCTTTCCCCCAATAAATCTATTCTGCTCATAGCCTCCATTGGTTGCTAAAATTCATTCTTCGGTTTTAGAGAACATGAACTCATCCCAGGTACCTTTTAGGTTGGGAGATCATTTTTCCCCTCTATCATTTGGAGGTCCCTATATTAATATTTCATATAATCAAATCTGAAGTGTATTATCTTCATGGATCAACTGTTTCAAATAACAAGGCACCCAAGAAGACATTTCTACTAGCCAAAGGAAACAAATACAAAAGGAAGGAGGGTATAAGAAAATGGAAGTCAAATGGAATCCAAGAGAAATACAGGAGGGTTAGCCTACAAGCACTACATCAAGAATATCTGAATATTAGATAACATACTAACATTTTAACCCGTCCATTATTAGGTATTTATGTTTCTGTAGATTAATATAGGTATATATTTTTGAAGCATGAATGTAAGGCATAAGTTAAAATTTACATGTCACTTTATATATGTGTAAATCTATGTAATTATTACCAGTCAATAGACTTTCCATATTCCAGATTCTTCTTGCTCTTGTCAGAACTTCTCTCCCAGCTGGGGATATAGCTCAATGGTACAAGTGTCTACCTGGCAAGCACAAAGTCCCGAGTTTGATCGCTGGTACCAAAAACTCCTCCCCAAAAGGGCACTCACAGTTCTGATTGTCTTTTTACCAATGGTTTTTGTCCCTCAACTTACATCATGGGATTGTATAGAAGGCATTCCTTGGTGTCTGGCCATTTTGATCAATATTATGTCTGTGACAATTCTATTACTGTACATTGCTCTTTGATTTACATAGACTCATTTGAATGCACCCTATCTGTCCATCCGTGGCTGCTGATTGTCTCCTTGGGGCGCTCAAAAGCCACAGGGGGATGGAGAAATTCATGACTAGGTCAGAAAAAAGGAAGTCAGGAATCAATACCCAATTCCTTTGACTTTGTTTCCTGCCTTGAAACATTACACGACAGACAGAAGGGGTTGGTTTCTCAGAAATGTAAGAGGAAAAGAATCCGAAGCAGGGACGTGCTTGTGCTTGTGTTGAAGGCAGCTGAGTCAGATAGCAATATTATAGGCAGTCAGACAGGGCCTGGCCCTCAAGGAGACAATACGGAAGACAAGATGACTTTGCAACTTTGGGAGAGACACCTTGCTGTGGGCCAGACCTCAGGACAAAAGAGTAAACAAGTGCAGCCACATACCTCCCTAGGAATGTGCGTCAGGGATGGACATTCTAAGTAGGTATCAATCACCTGGAAGCCAAAGAGTCACTACCTGACTCTACAGGAACAACCCTGCTCTGTATCCATGCCCACTTGCTATGTGACTCGCTTCCCCATTTGGTCTTGCATTTAATCAATTTTACCTGAGCAACTGTACTTGTAATCTTATTGGTTGACCATAGTTTTGTCCAACCTCATGCCCACCCAGTGTTTTCCACCTCAGGCCCACCTTACCTTGTGGTTTTACTCTATAAAAAAATCCCTGGCTTCCTAAGCAATCCATTTGGGGGCCCCTTTCTGTCCCCCTCTTGGACAGGAGCTTTCTTTCCCCTCATAAATATATTTGCTCTTAATTTCCAGTGTTCCTAAAATTCATTCTTTGGTTTTAGAGAACACAAACTCGGCCCAGGTATTTTTCAGTTTTGGAGTTTCGGTTCCCCTATCTCACTCACACCTTCCTCCCTGCCCCACCAAGGCTCCAGCCCCAGGCTGCTGCATTTCTAGCCTTGCACCTGGACTCTCCTCCCAGGTACAAGTGGTGTGGGAATGAGATCCAGGCATTTGCTCCCCAACTTCCTCTGAAAGGCCTGGGGGGCCATAGGATACTGAGTCAGAGCTTTTCTTGAGGAAACCTAAACTACGGGATTGTCCTTCTAGATCCGTCACTTCTCCCCACCTAGCCCTCTGCAGAACTAGGAGCAGCAGTAGCCTCCTGGACGTCAGCAGTGCTTCATTTACTCCCCAGGTGGTTTCCCTATAGCTCACCAATCTTTGCAATAGAACCTTTTATACATAGCCCTCGTTGAGGTGCCCTTGAGTGGCTGTGCCTACACTTTGCATTTGGGGAAGAAAAGCCGTATTGTGTCAGACACTTTCACAACACTACACACACCTACACCCTCACACACAGCTGATGGCTGGTAAACTTAGTGGCAGAGGCAGTAACAGGATCGTAGCTCCCCCATGGGCCACATCCTGGACTGTGCACAGCTAGTAAGCAAAGCTGCTCCATCCATCACGTTCAGAAAGAGCAGCCCTTCTACCCCGAGCCTTAGGCTCTAACGCTGTTTAACTGCATGGTGGAGGGAGGTGGCATGGCGGTGATGGCCAGGTATCTGAGCCTAGTGTGCCGGCTGTACCCAGGCTCCCTGCAGAATCTGAGGTGAGGCTGTAGGGCCTGCAACTGCAGGGCAAGGTCCAGCTGTGGCCAGAGGACCCAGATCCGCTGAAGTGGCTTTCTGAGAAGCCGAAGTTTTCACTCTGAAAGCAACTCCAGCTCTGAAAAGGCTGGCCTGCTGGGGTGGTTTAGCAGAATGTGAGAACAAACTCGATGCTAAGGTCGGGACGAGCTAGAATCGTGCGCATCATCAACACTGAATGTTCATGTCCAAATGTCTCACCTCACAGAGACATCATGTTTACAAGTATAAATATGAACTTGGCAGTAAACCTACATGTGAAATAATACTTTATAATCCTATATATCCTGTTCTACTCAAAAGGTGAGGTCAAACACTACAAACCAATGGTTCAGGTGACATCAGCACTACCTGTTATTTCCATTCTCAATTCTTATTTCTCTTCGCTAGGAAGTACTAGCAGCTGGTCACTGGCCACAACCCACTCACGAGAGGGAAGAGCAGCGCATCATTACGCTTCTAACTTGGTGGGAAACTTCTTCCTCAAAACATTGGTTTTTTTTTTTTTTTTTTTTTTTTTTGTTATCTGACTAAAGAAGGAAAAGCCTAGTGACAGGCTCCAGGATGAAAATTATTTTTCTCTCATCAAATGACAACATCATGAAGTCAACACTGTAAAGTCAGGGATGCAGATTCGGAAAACAAAAACCACAATACCACAGAGCTTGACATGTAACCTTTTTATTTTGTGATAAAAATGCTTTCATATAAATTCCATTGTAACTACTTTTAGAATGAAAATTTGGAAAGTAAAAATGAAGTGTGCACTTTCCTGAGTCAGGAATATGCAGTCATTGTATTGATTACTAGGTTTCTCATACAAACAAATATAGCATTATTTTAAGAGAAATGTACACAAGGAAGTTGCCATAGTACCAAACAGTCACTGGTGGGGGCTCTGGGAGGAAGAAACGCGTCCTCCTGAAGTCATCTTACATTCAATGTGGTGGCCAAGGCCCAGATGCCCAAATCATATGCCAATAAAACATTACACCTTTGGTTCTTTTCTATGAAAAAAAAAATTACAAACTGGCATATTTTAACAGTAAAATGATAAAATGGACTTGAGTGTCACAGCTGCTTACATTAGAATTTTAACACTCAGTCTGTCTTTTCCTCAAAACTCTCCCTCCCCCACCTTCATGTAAATCAGAAAATGATGCTTTAGACGAACAAACAAACAAACAGAAACCTATCCTTAAAGGTAGGCAGAAGAGGACTGGAAGAAAGAATGTCTTTTTTTTTTTTTTTTAAATGGAGAGATCTATGCATGGAATAAAAGATATAACCCATAAAAACTTAGTATCCAACTGAGAACCCAAGTGAGAAAGTGGTTCTTCATCTTACCTTCCCTTTTTTTAGATACTGTGCAACCCAAGGGTGCTTAAGATCTAAGACTGACAAAATGCTCAAGAGGCAGTGTCATCTTCCTTGTCACTGGAGCCAGTGGTCTGTCATGGCAGCTTTTTCGCATCCACTGCTCTAAACCCAAATGAATAAAATAAAAGAGGGGGAAATGTGCTGGTTAGTCCCACACTGGGGGCGGGGGAGGCAGTAAGAGACCCAGTGGCTGGAGCAGACGCTGATCCTTTCTGGCAGTGGCGTCGACGCAGATAGGAAGCAAGGAGCCACGCGACACGTCCCCGAGTATTCATGGTTTTCTCCCCATCTGGGAATAGCAAAGAGCCACCATTTGGAATGTTTACAGGTTGCAGCGGGGGCCGCCGTGGAGAATAACATGGAATAAGTAAACACTCTGCGTGCATCCGAGCACAACTAGTTTGGGTTGGTTCAATGAACTTGAACGGCACTGCAAAGAAGTCTTTGGAGAATATCATGCCAAGACGTGGCTCCCATAGGGAGCCACAGACAGGTAAGTGGGAAGCACTGGGGTGTACCCACACACTGTAGGAATGAAGATTATCTTTAAAGTAAAACGACAGGCAGTACAATATATACAAAATGCCCTGACAAAACCACCTTCCAGATGTCACGGGCATCACAGTACCGATGGAAATGACAACGTGGCCATAGGATCAATTATTAACTTACTCAAGGAGAAGAGAACAAACACTACTCTCCTGTTCCCACAGTGGACTAACATGCTTCTGTTCTCCACAGAGCTGAGGAAGCTGTCAAGATCATAGCGCAGAGAACAGCATCAGGTAAGGTGCAATCATAATCTCAACATAAAGGCAGTGACAAGCAAGTCTTCAGTCTACCATCAGCCAGGGGATGCTGGGAAAGAAGAAAAGCCCCCGCTGAGTTTCTAGGTTAGTTGCCAAAAGGGGACTGTCCTGGCTTTCAGATGGAAAGAAAGAGCAGCAGAAACTATCGAAGGCTGCCTTGAGGCGCACCCTGGAAGTCGTCCAATTTTCCATTCTCTGGATGCAGAAAATCCATGTCCGCAGTGAAAACCTACTGGGTGCTCCAGCCACTCAGCTCACAGTGCAGAGGGACACTGTAAGTAGGCTTCTGCTCTGGAAGACAATCGGGAAGAGAAGCTAGGATCGGAAGGAAGATGGCTGGCACTGGGCTTCTCAAGCCTAAGAAGGTTCAAACCTAAGTGGGAAGGATATGCTGTTTGAGACACTGTCTTGGCAGAGATGTACAGAGAGGCTCAACAGCTATGCTGACTTCATCTGGACGAGAGAAGAAAGCAGGCCTAGCGTTCTGAGATCCAGGACAAATGTGTTTCACAGTGGCAGTCGCGGAATGCTTGGCACAACACGGGAAGCACGGGCAGTAACTGTTGCTTGCATGAGTTATTTATTTCTTGGTCATCCCCACAGCAAATCCCTTTCTCCTCTTCTGGTTTGAAAAGACCATAGTATCTAGGCCATAGAGGAAAGATCGGGCCTACCCCAATATATCTATATCTATAGAGATATCTAGATACAGATCTTTCCTTCTGGTAATCTTTATATGAAGTCCTGAATGCAGAAAACAGAATTAAGGTGCAGCCTCTCAAAGGGATCTCCTGCTCCCACATAGATCCAAAGAAAAACATTTTGCTTTTTCCTAGGAATGATGTGTGCAGAACGCAACATGCCCACTTTCTACAGAAACATACTTGAGGCTTTATGCCAAGAGCCATACCCAAGGTAAGCCATGGGAAGCTCCCAGGGATTGAGGAAACCAGGAGGGGAAAGGAAGGCTGAAAATGCTTAAAAGAACAAAGGTCTCACCCCACCTCCTGCTGGTGGGGTGCAGCCACAGAGAGGTGCCCAAGGGAAAATGCCAAATGTCGTCAAAAGCATTCCAGGGCTGAGAAGATGAGCCAGGTCAACGTGGGCAGATTCCAGGGCACAGTTCCCAATCAGACTCGAGTGCAGAATCTTCTCTAGGATATACAGAAGCCACCGGGGCTTAAAATGCAGTCCAAGCTGTAAAATGTCTGGGTTACTAAAGGCATCCATCTTATTCTCCAAATAGAAGACAGTAAACATAGCCCCCGAGGCTTGTACTTAGCTTGCCTATGAACTTAGTTTGGTGTGCAAGAGACTAGAAGGAGCCTGTCCTCCCCCTAAAATCCTGCAAATATTCAGTAAAGCTGATTAGTTGCTTTTCATGCATTATCTGAAATCCAGGAGCATCTTCTTTCTCTTGCCTTCAAAAGCTGGTCACAGAGATTTCTTCATTTCTCTTCCGGATGACCTTCATTTGTGTCGCAGCAGCATTTACACTAGGCAGTTCCGTCTACACTGGAGGCAGACTCACGCGTAAACCTGCATGTTGCCGTGTGGTGGCTCAGTCATGTGCGTCCCAGGTCCTCGCTGACCCCCTCCGGCACCCCCAGGAGTAGGGCTGGTGGTCACATCTGACCAATCAGAAGCAGAGTGGGGTGACGAGCTTGACCACTGGTCAGGAGAATCCGGCGATGGTGTCAAGTAGGGATGCTCGCCTTGCAGGTGGCCGCTGTGGCTGGGGGTTCGCTCAGCAGCATTTGAGGAAGCATAACTATGCTGGGAGGGGGGCGTGGGGTACTTGCCCACAGAGGCCGGGAAGGGATGATAGGCTGGGAGAATGGTCTGCGCTCCCTGCCCATCCTGCTGGGGCATCATGGCTGTGGGGAAAGCCACCCCCGGTAAGCGGGCCACCTCGGGAATCTGGTACATGGTGGGAAGGGGGCCAGCAATGGCTGGAGGGCAGGCTGGCTGGGGCTGGGAAGCTCCAGCTGGCTGGGCAATGCTGCCCTTGGGGATGAGCTGGAAAGTCACAATAGGGGGCAAGGGCTCCCTCGGGGCGGTGATGTGCTTCCCTTCAGGCGGCCTGCTCTGGGCAGCTATGCCAGTGTGTGCACCCTCAGCAGGCGTCAGGACCATGCCGAACATTTCATTGTACTGGGTGTCATTCATCTCCATGCGGTTCATCCAGTCTGCTGGGACTGGAACTGGATGTAGCCTACTCAAGCTGCCCGCACTGCTGCTGCCTGGGGGCACGATGTGGTGGTGGGACAGCAGCTGGCTCACGGAAGGAAGCACGGTGCCAGCTCCAGGAGCCAAAGGCTGCATGTCGTGAAGGTTAGAGAAAGACAGTGCGTGCTGTGCGTGGACTGGGGCCGGGGGTGCAGCGGCGGCCAACAGAGGGTTGGGTGAGGCCTGTAAGATTCCAGGGGATGTGATCATGGGAGAGGAGGTGGGGTCAGACACATACGTGTGAGGAGACTCAAGAGAATCAACAGGGGACAAAGTCACTGAGCTCTCAGACAGCTGGACCTTTTCACTCAGAGACTTCTTCCTCCGATTGCCCTTGGCATCCTTAGCCTCTTTGGCAAGGTTAGGAAGGCTGGTAGGCATGGCACTCTTGGCGTTGGGCCGTCTAGGCTTCTTGCCCATTGGGGTGTGCTTCAGACTGAGAAAAGACCTGTTGGGCCCGCAGATGACAGGTGAGAGAGCAGAGGTCAGCACCGTGCCCGGGGGGCTGGGTGTCACGTTGTACTCATCCAGAAGGCGCACGATGTCGTGGTGCATGCGATCCCGGGCCACGTCCCGGGGAAGACGGTCCATGTGGTCTGTGATGTCCCGATTGGCAAAATGGTCCAACAGGATCTTGGCAGCTTCATAGCTCCCCTCTCGGGCAGCAAGAAACAGAGGAGTCTCTTCCTACGAGAAAGACCCACACGTACCACATTTAGTGCCACTTCTAAAAGCGTATCAGTGTCTCAATCTTTCTTCAGCCCTGTCAGACACATTTTCCTAAGTGCATCCCCCATAAAATGTTAACACCACAGGAACCCTGCATGTCTCCCTGTACAGCTGTGGATACACCTTTCCCAATGATCAATTTTGCCCCCTTAGCAATTTGTGAAATAAACAGGACTAAGCCAGAAACTCTTTAAAGAGTACTGAGTTCATCTGTTTAAGGTTCTAAAACGAAAAGGAATAAGAAAGGGAGGAGAAGAAATGAAATGGAAAATGATTAAGAATAAAAGAGAGAAAAGGCAAAATGTGCAAGCGTGAACTAAAATAATGAAAAAGCACAAATAAATGCGAGAGGATGGATCATGGAAGGGGAACACAATAGAAACTCAGGGAGAAAACCAAACCGGAAACCATCGTGACACCCACGAGCAAAGACTAAAGAGCCAAGAACAAAAGACCCTGCAGGAAAAGGTGAAAACAGGCCAAGAGAGCGAGTATAAACACGCAACAGCACCAGAGAAAAGGAGACATCAGAGAAGTGGGAGGGAGGGGAGGTCACACTGAGGTGCTTGCAGGGCAGCCTGGGGAGACTGAGTTACGACACACCATGGAAAAGTCGAATGTGCCACTGCACCAGGTTGTCCTGACCCAGTTCTTGCCCAGCCTGCTTCCACCCCTGGGTCTGTGCTGATCACAGGAGATGCTATGGCGGCCAAAGGGAAGGCCTTGCAAGTGAGGCCCTGCTGAGAGCATCCTCACGCTCCGCACTCACAGCCTATACGTACCTTATTGTCCTGCATGTCTCGGTTGGCTCCATTTTTTAACAGCAGAAGAGTAGCCTCCACATTATTCACAGCGGCTGCCCAGTGAAGAGCAGATTTCCCTGCAAGGCAAAGCCATTCTATAAGCTGACAGACAGCAGAAAAACTCATTCTAAATCTAGGGATCCCCACTGGCTCAGGTCCCCGGGATCAAGGTTGGAAGGAAGAGTGAACGAATGCATGAATGAAAGATTGAGCGACTCTCCAATGCACTAGGATCTGAACCAGTCCTCTAAGGACCACGCAGCAATTGTAGGTAGGTGTGCTCTCCAGACCAGAATTCAAGTCCCTGCCCTGCCCATCCTACCATGGTCATCCACCGCATTCACGTCTGCTTGGCAGTTGATGAGCTCTGCCACCATTCCCTCCACAGCCAGGCGGGCAGCCAGGATCAGGGGCGTAGTGCCGTCATTCATTCTGGCATCCAGATCAGTCACTCGGTTGCGGATCAGAATCTAGAAGGGGAGAAGAAAAGAGTCACTGGACAAAGGAAAATAATGAACCCATGAGAGGAAACCACAGCACTGGTGCTGAGGGTGCGCTGTTAAGTTCCTGAAGGGCAGGACAGTCTTCGGGACCTTCGTGGCCCAGATTCTATGGCAGCCAAACAATGAACATTTGTGGAATAAATCAATGGATGACGAACCAACAGGTGGGTGATCCAAACATGACTGCACAGGTAAAGCCATTGCTTTACCTGAATTTCTAATTTGTTTTATAAGGAAAGCAGAGCACCACAGGAAATGTGACAACTTCAAAATGTAGCGGGCAATGAAAAGGCATCACAGCGCACGGTCAGCTCACATCAAGAAAGTGGCCGGCAGTTAGCTGGGAGACCACGTAGTCAGAGGGGATGATCCAATGGAATAGTAAATGTGAAACAAGGGTAAAGATATCGCTCCCATCTGGTCTGTGCACTTGGGAGACATCTTTGCATATCAAAGTACTGCTAAAAATCAGAAGACTGGTGGTCTCTGCTATCAGCTGTCACTATCTGGTTACTTTTAGTAGGTTAACTTTTCCTTCTTTCTTATCTAGCAAGCGTTAATAATCTGTGAAAGAATTACTGATTAACTCAGTGACATATTAAGTGCCCGAATGCAGATAAAGCACTACAGATCCATGGAAATTTGTACTGCTCAAACCAACTCTTCTCACGTCGCCTACCTGGAAGACGCCTTGGGCGTCGGCTGCTACTGCGGCATGGAGGGGGCAGCGGCCCATGTTGTCCTGAGCATTGGCATCTGCACCTGCGTCCAGGAGGCGCTTGGCAGCATCAGCCCTTGAGTAGCGGGCTGCGAGGTGCAGGGCCATCTCGCCCGTCCGGTCTGTCTGGGCCTGCAGGCTGGCGCCCTGGTAGACCAGGTCTGTGATGATGTTGGCGGAGGAGTCCTCTTCATCTTCATCGCTGGCATCTGAGCTGCCTCCTCGGAGGGAGGCCAACATCAGTGGTGTGCACCCATCTGCAGGAAGGAAAATTCCAGTAAGCACTCAGGAGAAGAAGGAAGCAAGCCCTGTCTGAAGCACTTCTGAGTGAGGATGGGCTTAAGGAAGTTTCCAATGCTCCTTGAGAAACTGGTGATTAGCCTTACATTTACCGCCTCCCTCTCCGCTGATGATGCCATTCCTATAAAAGAACAATGGGGAGCGAGTCTTTCTGAGCTGAGCCTCTTCCCTAAGGTGAATAAGCTTTTGTCTCAAACACATTTTTAAAAACCCAACACTAGGGCCAGCCAAATCTCAGTGGATTAAAGCACCTGCTTAGGCAGATGCAGGCGCCCTGAGACAGCTATTGAGATGGGGTGTGGTGGTGTGCACCTGTGTATTTGGTACAGGGTCTCACTATGCAGGCTGGACTTATGGTGATCCTCTTGTTTTCAGCCTCCCCAGAGCTGGGATTACAGGTGTGTGCCACCACGCCCATACTCGGTCACCCACTCAGTGTGCCCCTGGGATGGGGGTAGAGCCAGCTCAGCATGTGGGTCCAGGGTTTGAACCCTGGTCCCCACACTTGCCAAAGCAGGTGCTTAGTCCACTGAGCTATCTCGCTGGCCCTTCTGAGGTCATAATTCTTGTATGTCTATAATTCCTTACACATTCCTTTCCTCAAGCTGATTTAGGATATATGAAACTGGCAGACAGCACATGGCCAGGTGGGGCAAACGTAGGGCTACCCTGGCAGAAGGAAGGCAAGCACCTCCTGGGGAAAGGAGAGGGCTGGCAGCACTGACCTGGGCCTCGGACATTCACATCCAGCACGTCCACTTCCTGCTCTGCCTGAGGAGGAGTGAGAGCCAACGACGGCGTCCGGCGGATGTCCGCAGCTTCAAGGTGCTGCTGCGTCCAGGGGCGTCGATCGATGGGGTCATCTTCTTCTGAGAGCAAAGCCTCATCTTCAGCCTGAAGAGGAAATAAGCAATACGCCCTGCCGATCTGACGGCTATGGGAGCCCGCAGACAGGCAGGAGGGCCACAGTCTCCTGCTGCCTCCTCTGACCTCCAGCTAGACTGCCCTTTCTTCCTGTCCTAACCCTCAATTTCATCGATCACCTTAGCTCTCTGGCTCCTGGAATGCGGCTCCTGCTGATCTCCTCTTAATCGTCCAGGCAGCTCTCCCCACAGCCCCCTCACAGAGTTTAGGCTTGGCCCCCTAGTATGCTATTTTTAGATCTGCAAAGCACCATCCTCCTGTTTCTAGGCCTCCACCCACGTTCTTGCCTCAGGGTGCAACAGTTTGACCCATTCCAATTCTCTAACCACCACCTACTCCGCAAAAAAGAAATTATACATTCTTGTTTCTCTTGTTGGTCCCAAAAACTGTATCCTGCTTTCCTCTGCTAAGTACTTGCATGGTACTACGTGCAGCCACCTCTACAGCAGACTAGAAGGTTCTTGGAAAGAAGGAATAAACCTTGTTCAAAGCGGCCTCCCTCAACACACTATCCAGTCACAGCAAGCACGCAGAGGAGATTCATGAATCATGCTAACATTGACCATTTAGAAGCAACTATAGGCCGGGGAGATAGCTCAGTAGAATAAGCGCTTGCTTGACAAGCGCAAGGGCCTGAGTTCGATCACTGGTTCCACCAAAAAAAATAAATAAATAAATAAAATAAAATAAAAATAAATAAATAAAAGCAACTATAGTTTATCAAATTCTTAGTATGTGACCAGAAATAGGTAGGGGACATTATACTATTGTGTTTAATCTGAATAACAACTCACAAAGGAGTCTTTATTATTCTTTCTACAGATAAAATTAAATTCAAAGAGGTAAGCAACCTGCCAACTCCTAAGGAGCGCACTTTTGCACCGTCCTTTTCTGCTGGCTACTGACACACACACACACACACACACACACACACACACACACACATCTTCTTCTTCTTCTTCTTCTTCTTCTTCTTCTTCTTCTTCTGGCCGCAGCAGCCCAATCCTGCTTTTGCTCCACACAATTTTAGCTTCCTGAGTTCAAAGTGTACAGGCTCTAAAGCCAGTAGCCGCTGACTTCTCTCACTGCTTAATCACCAAGATGGACCTAGACACCAGTCCTGACTCAACTAACGCTAGCAGGGCATCTGAAGAAAGAGGCATGTTTGTTTTACTATTTTTAAGAATTCTTGGGCTGGTGAGATGGCTCAGTGGTGTAAAGCACCTACTTAGAACAAGCTTAGCAAAGCACAGGGACCACAGTTCAATCCCCCAGCACCACATGCCAGCCAGCCCCGCCCCCTGGTGGGCTGAGCTGGCCACACACACACACACACACACACACACACAAATTTAAAAAAAAAAAGAATTCTTGAAACACATACATAATTAACCCCGGCTCATTAAAGCCTGCAGGCTCCCTGCTGTTGTCCATGGGAAATCTGGGTAACATAAGAACTGTCACTCTTTCCCCCAGTTCAGGATACTCTGGAACCACCCAGAAAAGCAAAACTCGGACTGCGACCCAACAACAGCTAACAGTGGCGGCTCGCCCTAGCCCGCTTACCTTGGCTTTCTTCGGTTGGGGCCCTTCATCATCTACCCAGTGTTCGCTTGTCCCAGAACCAATTAGGTTAGCCTCCGAAACTTGCACAGAGAGATTTCTTTAGTAGAATCATAAAGGGGTGAAAACAAGAAGAGAGAGTATGGCATAAACAAGAGGTAGGGCTGGGGAGATAGCTCAGTGGCATAAGTGCTTGTCTGGCAAGCACAAGATGCCAAGTTCGATCCCTGGTACAAAAAAAAAAAAGTGTTTTTCAACACTTTTTCCACCACAGCCCACTCCCAAAGCTACGCTCTCACTTCTGGGGGCCTTAGCCCAGAAAAGATGGGAGAGATGTCACGTATGAGCGAGCACTCGACCTTTCCCTTGACAGTGAGCAAGAGCTCCCCCGCACAGACACTGCCACCACGTGGGAACACAGGAACAGAAGACGTGCACCCAGCCAGCAGTTTCCCAGTCGCTCGACCAGTGAGAGTAACGGCAGGGCTCAGCAGTTAGCACTGTGATCCAGAGGGACATGCTTTTCTCTCCGTTTCTGCATTCCGCTGTGAACTGTGGCTTGCTGGCAAATCCACTTACTTCAGCCCCACGGCATCCTGTCCCACAGGCTCGCGGCGCTTGTGGTTGCTAGAGTCTCGGCGAAGGGTGAAGCCTTCGGGCAGCCAGAGGGAGCCGTGCTTGCGCTTCCGTTTTGCCATGATTACGCCCAGCAGGATGATAACCAGGATGATGAGAACAGCAACAGCCAGCAGATAGAGGAGCTGCGTGGGTTTGGGATCCAGGGATTCACCTGTAAGTTCAGAAAGATGGACTCAGTGTTGCATGACACAGGAACTTCTTGATATAAGCGTCAAATTCATGTAGAGGGCTGCCTGACATCACTGCCCCTACAAAACCAATGCTGAGAATTAAAGCATGCGCCCTACACGGGTCTTTCCCCAGTCAGTCCCCTCAGCACCAATGCTACTCACTGACGACAGACACAAGAGGATAAGACAGCGTTCCCTGGATTGCATGAGAAGCCAGCAGAGCTGCGGCTGCATCTGTGTTCTTGAAGCACTGGTCTGAGTCTTGAATACACTGGCGGTTGTCGATTTCTAGAAACACTTTGCAACTGTGGAATGCCAAGGAAGAGGAAGATGAGGGGCAGTGGGTAGACCAGAAGGCCGCAGCAGGCCCGGCAAGCCGAGGCAGAAGCACAGGGGGTAACAGGAACCTTCTACTCCTTGACCCATGGCTCTCCACTCTCAGGATACTGCCTTCAGAAAGGCTCCAGAAATTAGGACACTGTCCCTTCAGGTTCTAAATACCGACTCATGCCCTGAGGGTGTCTCACTTTCCTCCATGTGGCGCAGTGGTCCTCCACCTTCTCCTACGTGTCCAGCGGCACTCAGTGGTATGCTGAAAACACACACTGCACGTTCTGGGCGCTTGTTCTTCTAAGTCTCTGCATTCACACCTCAGCTATCTGGACAGTTGAAAACTGTGCTACGTACAGGGAAGTGTAGAGTAACTGAAGTCTATTGCTCCTGTCAAAGATGCTTTTAGTGTAGGTAGGGCATCTTGAAAATAAGACCATGATGGATACAAAAACAGAAGCCATTGCCAAGCATAGTGGTGCACGCCTGTCACACCAACATTCTGAAAGGCTGAGGCAAGAGGAGCACACATTTGAGCTCAGTCTAGACAACTTAACTTAGTGAGATCTTGTCTCAAAATAAAAAATAAAAAGGGCTGTGTATGCAGCTCAGGGTGAAGGCCCTAGCTTCAATTCCCACACAAAAAAAGAGTATTCAGCAAAAGATTTTGAGGCAAACTCTAGCCAAGCACTAAGGGTTCCAGCATTTGAGAAAATTAGGGATCCCAACATCTTCAAACCAATTGTGGCCCACCTTTCTGGACTCCATAATCAAGGCAGATCTTTTCTCCTAAACATAAGCACAGGGCCATGGGTTTGTCTAAAGTGATAATGCTCAGGTTTTTTTTTTTTTTTTTTTTTTTTTTTTATGCTCAGTTTTATGTAAAACTTTTTTTGAGGTCTTGAGAAAAACATCCTCCCTGGACATTGTTGGCTATCAATTGCTATGAAAACTTTTATGAAGTTTAAAAAGCAAAAACCTACCCAGCCACCTCCTGTTCTTGCTCCTCAGGAAGAGACCTTCGCAACACCTTCTGCTTCTTCATGGCTGCTGACCTTTCCCCATAGTAGGGGTACACCATGGGGGCCCCCTGTGAGTCCAGCTTAATGCGCAGGTTGGTGTGCAGCAAAGTGCCCAGTGCACGCAGGAAGCTGCGAGCATCTTGGAGCAGCTGTTCAGGGGGCATCAGTACCACGATGACCAGCGTGCCTTCCGCCAGGTTCTCGGGCCGGTCGGCAGCGCAGTCCAGCCCGTCCCAGCCACACTCCTCACTGTTGCATCCCTGGTCACAGTGGTTGTCTTTGAAATGGTCTGCGCAGTACTTGTCGTACCTAGGCAGGGGAGAGACAGCCAGGGAAAGGAATTCAGATTGGACTTGAAATCCACTTAGTTTTCCAGTTAGAACTACTGTGATTTTTTTCCTACCCAGCTTTTGTCACCTGCGCCTTGATCCCAGTGCCCTGTGAAGCCGTGCTGGATGGAATCATATGCTCCGTGCCACTCAACCCTACCGACTGCTCCTTCGATGAGGAACAACACTGCCGATTATGCAGCAAGGGCTCAGGGCTCCTATGCCATTCTCAATCTTGTTAAGTCAGCTTTTAAACAAAAGTCTGACATCAAAGTCAGCCTGATCAGTATATCCTCTAATTTGCATCCACTTCTCCCAAAACTGGAGGGCTTTAGGAAGTAAAGGTGTCCAAGGAGGCTCTATACTCTAAATCATCAAGAGAACCTTGTCAGTCTGACCCATTTCTTCCCCTTGACGAATCCCAACTACAGAGGGGAAGGAAGGTTATGTGCCATACAGATACCAGATCAAATCTGTGGTCACTTTTCAAATACTGGGAGAAGAAAACAAAACCCCTACACCTACATGATGCACAAACTATTCTTCTACACTCCCCTCCCCTCCCCGCAGCCGCATGCCATGGTATTTGTACTATTCTGCTCAATGTGCCGTCTAGCTCAATGAGAGATCCTGAGTCAGGAAGAGCCACGTGTGCTCTAGCAGGTGCTTCAACCTGATTCCTCACCTGGGAACGGCAGCTATACCTCAGAAGGTAGCTGCAGTTAACTAGGGTCAAATTAGATGGAATGGTTAATAGAAGGGTTACTATGTAGAACACAAAGCATACTGGGATGTTAACAACAAAGACTGGGAGGGTTAAGAGCCCTAACCTAGGGCATTCTTTCTGATCGATCTAGACAGTGAAAGTCAGTCTTGGGGAAAGCAGTGAGTCAAGAGAGGTACAGACCTTTCCATCCATCCTGTAGACAGGTTATGTGAGAGGCTGCCTGAGCGTGAGTAACACCACTTCCAAAAGTGATTTCCCCCAGGAGACCACGAGAGCAGCGGGTGAGAAGGCAGAGATAGGCAGAGGGGGGAGGCTACGCAACGAGCATCCCTGGCCTCTGCTGCAAGGGCGAGAACAGGGTAGCGTGTGACGGGACAAGGCTGGCACCATCTGACGTGCAGAGGCAGCTTGGGTTGAAGCACTGCAGGAGTTAGGAGCAAGAGCGAGAAACTGAGGCATGTTAGTGACAGTGCCCCTGGGCTTCCAGAGAGCCTAGAGCCCTTACTTGCAGGTCTTGCTGTTTCCTTGGCATTCAAAGTTGTCAAACAGGCACTCAGCCGTGTTGCACAGCTCATCACACTGGTTGTTGATGTAGTCCCAGCAGGGCAACGGGGAGGAGCAGTTGGCCCAGGGGTCTTCCATGGTGAGAGAGCAGTCGCCTCCATCCCACTGGCAGTCATGGCTGTTGCAGGCCTCGTCGCAGACACCATCCCGAGCTTTGTCAGCACAATACTGACTCGTGCAGGTGTCAGAAGGGGTGGTGGTAGGGGCCGAGTAGAACTGACAGCGGCTGCCCCGGAACAGTGCAGAGCAGAGGCAGGAGTAATATGGAGGCTGGCGCTGCGGGTAGCAGCTGCCCCCGTGCTGGCAGGGGTTACTGGCGCAGCCCGACTCACAGTCCTGCGGGTTGGGGCAGACGCAGCGGGGCCCCGAGGCAGTGTGCACGCACTGCTCCCCCTTCCTGCACTTCACCTGCCCACAGCTGCTCTGGCATTTCGCTCCTGAGAAGCCCTGTGGGAAGTGGTAAAGAAATGAGGAACTGCTTCTCCTCCGTACCAGGGAGACAGAGACTAGACCCTTAGTTTAAGATCACTCCAGGCTGCCTCCCGGATCACATTCTAAGAAATGACATCTTTGAGGCTGCAGATCGGGAAGAAGTAAAGGTTCCAAGGGGTGGGCACAGTGTTTTCTCGCTTTAAGTTTACTTTCAGAAATTAAGTCCACAGAGTTGGGACTCTAGGCACCACCCTCATCACCTTTCGCTCACTCCATAATAATGGTTGGGGCGGGGAGATCCTACTAGAAGTTTTGGATTTCTAGAAGAACTCTACATCTCATTTCACTCTTGTATGTCCTGCTCAGCCCAAACACCAAGGTTATTAGGCACCTTTCTTTTTTGGTTTCTCTCCATAGAAAGTGATCTCTGCTTTAGAGAGCCTTCAGCATTTGGCAGTGGCAAAAGCATGTACACGGCAAATGGCTAAAGCTTTCTTCTAGCTTAACATGCAACTAGCTCAAAATGATCCCTGCTACACAATAGCGTTTCGTTCCTACTGAGCAGAGACAGTGGCCCTCATTCAAAAGGACCTCCTACCACTTCTTGTGGTTTTTTTCCTGAGTGTTTTGAAGACTGTCTGCCACAGACCAGGAATCGCACAGTCCCCAGGGCTGCCTACACAACTTTACGTGAACAAATCTGAGCTGGAATTGAGATATCTCCCCACTCGCGACCTTGAAAAGCTGAGTTTAATTTGCTTTGTCACAGACTGTGTGGACGAGAGTCTGCCCCTTAAATCAACAGCAAGCTACTTACCGGAGGACAACGACAAATGAAGCCGTCGGGCATGTTGCTGACTGCGGCGCAAGTCCCTCCATTCAGACAAGGCCTCTGAGGACACACGTCCACGAAGGTTTCACAGTGACGGCCTCAAGGCAGAACAGAAAAAGCAGTTTTAAAGGCAGGAAGGGTAACCTCAAGTTGCTGAACAGAACCCCTGCGACAGGGACCAGGCCCAGACTACAGCCAGGAGAGGAGCTCAGCTCTAAACCTATCGGAATCGAACGAGCTCAAGCACGTATCCCACAGATAGACTGCCGGCTGCTGCAGACAAGCCCTGTACACTCCAGTCCACACAGAAAACATAAGGCGCATACCCACAAAGCTACCCAAAGGGATGGCTACAAAGCCATTAGGCATTTTTAAAAAAGTAAAATCACACCTCAGTTCTTCAAGGCACTTCAGTTTCATAAATTGAAGAAAATGGTAAACGAACTGTTCACTACATTTTGTTAGTGCTTTCTGTTTTATAGGACAGGCTACCTCAGGCCAATATAGCTAAATAGGAACTAGCAGTTTATATAGAATTTTCATCTATGATCTCTCTTCTCAGTGATTCTGGCTTTTCTGCATCCTGTTTGATTTGCTTTAAAATACAGCTTAATTTTCCCAGAGTCAATTTACCACAAACAAAAACATGTTTTGTTCACTTCTTCCCTACAGTAACATTGCATAATCAATACAGTTATATCTTGGGAAGAATAAAGGTAGAGATCGGTTAAAACATCTGTAGTACATAGACCTAGCAAAACCACCTGGGCTCTTCAACTAAGCTGGTTGAGTTTTCTGTATACAGCAAAGCCTCCCTTGGGTCTGGGACAAGTATGTGCCCAACGTGCTCACTAAAGCCTCTGCCAGGGCTGAGAGACGGGGCCTCACCAGTAAAGGCGCTTCGGCAGACACACTGGTAGTCATTGGTGAGCTGGATGCAGTCCAGGCTGCCCTCCGAACTGCAGGGGCTAGAGAGGCACTCATTGATGTCCCCCTCACACCGTTCCCCAGCAAAGCCAGGCAAGCAGCGACAAGTGTAGCCCCCGATCCTGTCCACACACTGCCCGCCGTTGAGGCAGTGGGGACCCCCAGCACAGTCATCGATGTTCTCTTCACAGAGCAGGCCTGGAGGACAGAGAGGACACAGCGTTTTGAAAATATCTGCAACACTGGTCTCCAGCGAGGGACAACCACCTTGCTGGGACTTCCATAATCAATCAGACTACACTCCTCAATCTACAGTGGCACCTTTGAGGGCGTGTAGGGTGAAGCCCGCTCGGCCTGTGACAGCTGCCACCTTCCCAATGAGCAGTATGAGGAGCAGGAAAGGCAGCTTAAGGCATCACATCTCGCCACGCAACAAAGCAACAGAGTCCTATGGCGCAGGCTCCACCATCTGTGCCATCTCAAGGCAAGGAGACAGCTCAGGGGAGGCTCAGTAATTGCTCATCTATATCTTAATTTCAACTCAAAATATATAAAAACAGTCCAAAAAGAGGACATAAGTTAGTAAATACATAGATTATGACTACGGAGAATATTGGTAAGAACTGAAACTCAATTTTGTATAAGGTGATTTTTTAACATCATGTAAGTACTACTGCATCTTACTTAAAAATAGAAAATACCTGCTGAAAGTTCAGTGGTTATCCTAACTAAAACAGAACTGTCACAAATGGGTATTATCTATGTAGCATGAACACTTGTAATCATTTTTAGAAAGAAAGTTATAAATAACTTCTAGACATTATTCTATGATCTATTTTAAAACTTACCAAAAAAAAATACCCAGTTCTATATTGCTGCCACTTGCATTTGTGGTATACATTAAAAGAAACAAGATTTGGGCCAACCAAATAGCTCAGTGGATTCAAGTGCCTGCAAGCAGGTGCAGGGGCCAGGGTTAGATCCCTGGGCTTGCGTGCAGGCCCCTCCCCTAGGGCATGCTGAGATAGCAACTGAGCTGGGCGTGGTGGTGTACGCCTGTAATCCCAGCACTTGGGAGGCTGTAAACAGGTGGATCACTATGAGTCTGATTTGGTAGTGAGACCTTGAACACCCTGTAGACCCTTCCCTAAAAACATAGAAAAAAAAAAAATTAAAAAATTAAAAAGAAAAATAATTTTAAAGGAAAATAGAAATGTAAAATATGATTTATTTCCATTAGCAACTGGAAACACAAAATATGCAGGAATATTTTTAATGCGAACACGCTATCCTGTCTGAAGACAACTTTAAAATTTTCCTGAGACACACACACAAAAAAAACAGACTTAAATAAACATAGCACTGTTTGGTAGGGCGGACTCGTTGTGGAAGATATAAACTTTATAGCCCTTAGATTCAATGTGACTCCAATAAAAACATACAAATTTTTCAACTATTTAAAGGCTGTTTTCCCTTAGTTTTCTCCTCTCTTTTAATCTCATTCCTCAAGTAGGTAACTACTCTATTAGCAGAGTACTCTTCTATCTTGATTCAGCTAACCTTGGATCTCTAGGAAGGCAAATTGTCAAAATTCACTGACTCAGAAGTCTGTAACAATATAAACAGAATTTCTGAATTTCTTTTCCTTTCTTTGATCCTGAGGAGAATGAGCATCTTATCCCTCTGGATAGCTTTCCCCAGTTCTCCCCAACAGGCCACTCCAAACAGGAACTTCCTAACTAACTGCCTCCTAACAGACAACAGCCAGAGTTCTTGGGGGGAGACTGACACGCAGTGTCCACAGCAGAGAAACGACTCCAACACTCAGGCCAGGGCTACATCCCAGGACTGTAACACAGCGGCATTCCTCAGGGCAGTGGTGTCAAACCTAGCCCGCTATTTGTATCCCCATAAGTTCTAAAAGGCTCGCCATCGCTGCCTTAGTACATCAGCCCCCTCCCCAGGGACTGGGAAAGTAGGCAGCTTTTTTCATTTTATTCATCCCTTATCTTATAGAGGCAACACCTGGCTTACTTCCCTAAAAAGCAGGTAGACATGAATTATTTATTCAAGAGACTCTAAGCTGCTTTAATTTGAAGCACCAAGAAATCTGGCTCAGTAGGCTAATTTTGTTGTAATATTGTATCAGTATTACCTTCTGTATCAGTATTACCTTCTGTGCTTCCTGGAGTGTAAGCTGTCAAACCACCCAAAAGTATTGAAAACACAAATCAGTGCTAGTGACACACAGAGGATGAAATGGACCACATTACAGGGTGCCGAAATAAATGCTTGTAACGGAGCTACTAACTAATTTTTAGAAAGCCCTTTGACACTCAGAATGCATCTTAGAGAATGGCTCAGATAGAAGAGTAGGGCTGCTCACATACCCCGAGTGCCTGGCGGGCACGAGCACTTGAAATGGTTCACAAGGTCAACGCAGGTGCCTCCGTTCTGGCAGGGCTGATTCTGACACTCGTCTACTTCATATTCACAGTTGACGCCCTGATATCCCAGAACACACTGCCAAGAAATAGGATGCAGAAAAGGACAATGAGTGTTGGGTCATGATGGAAAACAGAAGGACAAGTGAGACCTGGTGTGTGACCACGACCCTGCCCCACCCCCTTAGTTCTTACTGGTTCCTCAGTAAGAATCACCCCATCCTGCTAATTGCCCTGTGCAGGGCCAGGCTCCAGCTGCCTGTTGAAAAAGCCACTTTACAGGGAAGAAAAGAACCAAGTATCCTGAGGGTTATTTTCAATATGACTCCTATTATTGCTTGTGTCTAGATGTCCCCCCAAAGCCTCATGTAGTCACAGGTGGGGCTTTTTCAGAGGTGGCTGGATCCAGAACATGTGACGCTGGGATAAGGGTGTTTGGTTATTAGATCAGCCCACTAACTGGTTTGGCACTGTCCTGATCCTAGTAGCCTAGTCAGAGTAAAAAAGGGCAGAAAGAAGCTGCTCAAGTGGCTTGAACTTGCTTCTTTGCTACTTTGTTGCTTTACTTTCTTCTGCCTGTGGAGAGCTGTCTCTCCTCCGCATGTTTGTCTGCGATGTCCTGCCTTGGAGCCAGCCAATTAAGGACTGAAACCTCTGCAAACTGTGAACCAAAACAAACCTTTCCTTCTTTAACTTTGGGTGTCGGGTACTTTGTCTCAGCAACTGAGAAAAGTAGCTAAGACAACTCCAGTGCAAAACTTTTGTTCCTCCTTTGTACGAATTCCCCCATCTTTAAAATATGCATGTCTGGGAAACTGACTGAGGCTGAGGAAGGTGGGGCCAGCAGGCAATGGTGGACATGAAGGTTGGAAGAAATTCAGGATGGAGTAAAGAAATCAATGACTGTGAGTTAACTTTATCCACGCCATACTTTACATGTCTGTAGGTAGGGCAAGTGCTCCATAACAGGTGACCATCCCACGGGGGAAGAAGAGTATGAGGAGAGAAGAGCCTATGCACTCCAGGGGACAGAGCTGAGAGGAAGCATGGAAGTCCAGGCGATGTCACTCAGAAGCCCAGCAGCAGGTCTCTAGAGGGTGCTGAAAGGCAGCAGCACTGGGTCTTTTTAGTCCCAGGGTTCATCTTATCAGTGCCTGAGAGGTACTGGGTGTACTTACAGGCCATGACAGGTAGGTGGGATCTAAATGACTAAAATCTGCTTATTTGAGCTACATTTAAGACAACTGGGTGTGTAGAAATTTGAGGTTAACCCTGGCAGGCTTTTCAACTGATGGGTGCCAGGCTGCTATGAAGAAATAAACAACCGAGGTAACAGCAGAGAACCAAAGCCTTTTCTATTGCTTGGTGGCCTGAACTGGTATCAATTTCATCTCTGTTCTGTTTTGTTAACATTTTGTTCTAACTGCAGTCAACCCAGACATTCAATAGACAGTAAAGTAGTCCTTGAAAACACAACCTTTCTTAAACATACACACGTTAACACTTAACGTGGTACCACAGTAAAAACAGCCACTTCTTCTAGAGAGAGAAATTATTAGCTGGTTGTTGATGACTACATATGCAAGGGGGATGGGGCAAAGAGACACTGTTCATACTGGCTTATTGTAGCTCAGGTGCCACTCAGGGAAGTTCTGGGGGCCACTGTGGTGAGTGGGCCTGTCAAATGCACCCTGGTCGCAGCTGCCAGTTCCCCAAGTCCTGGCAGTGACCATGTGAAGAAAAACGTTTTCAGACCTCAATGAAAGTGTCTTTCTAGGGCCATACTAATATACTGCACAGAGAGGCTAAAGAAAATAGTGACTGTAAGCACTTGCAAGGTGACTAGTAAAAACCTGCAAGCCATACACATAAGAGGTAAGCAGCTGAATTCAATACTTGGGGGCGTAGGAGCTGCGCGACCTCTTGGGCCCCTTCCCGCCTTCCTCACCTCACATCTGTAGCCGCCAATGAAGTCGACGCAGGTGGCGCCATGCTGGCAGGGATTGGACGCACACTCGTCCAGCTGCTGCTCGCAGTAGCTCCCCGTGTACCCCAGCGGGCACTGGCAGTGATGCGTGTTGCCGGCATTGATGCAGGCACCCGAGTTCTTGCACAGGTTCTTAGCAAGCACGCCTGGGCGGCCACAGAGGAGAGAGGCATCACAGATGGGCAAATGACACACACCAGAGCCAGACTACTCAACGGGCAAGCAAACCTAGGGTGGCTGACGTGTCCAATGTTATGCTTACCCAGTCTTTCACAGCTCTCACTACCAAATCTGTATTAAAAATAAGGCAGCCCCCAAGGTGGAATATGCCTTAGCTTCCTTTCAAATACTTTTTCTTTCATAAGCACTTAAGCCTCCTCCTCCACCCTTTGTCCAGTATGAAGCCCTGCACTACTACCTGTCTTCCCCCTTATCCCACAATAATAACATCTCCCTGAAAATGCCGCTGACTGGGCCATCCTTGCGTAGCTGGCTCGTGAGCCCCGGAAGCACAGCTCACCTTTGCTGAGAGCTGCCACATCACAGGAGACATTGGGCACATCGCAGTATGCACCTGTCCATCCAGACGGACACAGGCACCGGGACTCTGCCTTCTCCTGGACGCAAGTGCCTTTGTTTTTACATGGAGACTGACTGCAGAGGTTCACCAGGGTCTGAGGGAAAGGCGGGGTACAGACACATCAAAAGCCAGATACCAGAAATGAAGAAAATAAGTTATATAATATTACAAGAAATCAAGGAAAGCATATGAATTCAGTATTCCAAGTGCAGGTCATACTCTTAAGTTACTCTTTGCTCTGCTATTGAAAAAGTTTTCAGCACTGACATTCAAGAAACTGAAGAAACCCAATATATAAAGTTATTCTTAGTTCTCTGGACATGATTGTGTTTACACATACAGCCATCCAGTAGGGCTAGAAAGAAAGAAGTGGAGCTCTCAGATGTTCCCTGTGCAAACGCTGCATAAGATCCACATAGCTGTTGGCCACCCCGTCTTGGTGGAGATGGATAAAAAGACTAAAACCTATCAATAAGCCTAGAATTGTCAAAGAATTGGTTCTGAAGGGGAGAGAATCAGGTCTATGAACACAAGATGGAGAAGGAGGTCACAGCCACAACAGAGACTGCTGGCTGGTAGCAGACACCACGGCGTAAGCCTGCGAGGCTGAGCAGTCAGCCACGCTCCAAGCCACGTTGCTCAGTCCACGGAGGTGGTCGTCTGCACACCCGAAACAACCAAACCCTTCTGAAGCGCACCCAGTGCAGCGAGCTCAATTCTGCCATGTGTTCCCAAATTCTTTGGGGGTCCTGTTCTCTCATTCTTGCAGAGATAAAGTCAGCATAAAATTAAATACAGTGCTGTCTGGAATCCATATACTGGAAGTGTTAACTCTGGGATGGATCTAAAGTCACACACTGCTGCTTAGGAGCTCAGCTTCTCTTCCCTGGACTGAAAGCATAGCTTTGTTTCTTTTGAAGACTCCTATACTAAGAGTCCTTGAAAATGTGTATATATTTTATTTTATTTATTAGTATATGCTCACAGGCTAAGGCACACAACCCCAGGGAGCTGCCACACGCACGCAGCACAGCGGAATCCTCTGCTCAGTCCGTCCCCTCCCACCGCTGCCCTTTCCATCTCGTGGTCCTCTTCCCTCTACGGAAGACCTCACTCCCTTTTTCCTATCATCTATAATTTATCTTGCTCTTTGTATTTTGGGTTTCTCCTATAAGAAAAACCCTGTGATTTTTAAGCTTGAAGGTCTGATTTATTCCACCTAGCAGTATGGTTTACATGTACATTCATATTCCTACAAATGTCTCTAGTTTTATCTTAAAACTATTACAACATGGCAAGACAAGAAAGATGTAAAGAGGGGCCGGGGAGATGGCTCAGTGGAATAAGCGCTTCCCTGGCAAGCGCAAGGGCCTGAGTTCAATCCCTGGTTCCGCAAAAAAAAAAAAAAAAGAAAGAAAGAAAGATGTAAAGGGCCAGATAGCTCAGTGAACTAAGTGCCTGCTTAGGCAAGCTCGGGGACTGGGGTTTGATCCCCAGCACCACGTGCCACACCGATCCCACCCCCAGGCACACTGAGCTGGTCACTGTCTAGGCGTGGTGGTACACGCCTGTAATCCTAGCACTAGGGAGGCTGAACACAGGAGGATCACTATGAGTCTGATCTGCATAGTGTGATTCTGTACCAAATACATTAAAAAATAATAATAGTAATAAAAGATGTTGCACTTGACCTTAAAGACTTCAATTATTTTTTCCCTTTTTATTTTTTTATTTTTTTTATTTTTTTAGGACAGGGTCTAGGGGTCTCACTACGTAGATCAGACTCGGAATGATCTGCCTGTGTTCAAGACCTGGGATTACAGGTGCGCACCACCATGCTGTCTCAGTCACCATCTCAGCACAATCCGGGGGCTGGGCCAGCACGGCACACCAGGAATCGAACCCCAGCTGCTACATCTGCCTAAGCAGGTGCTTTAGTCAACGTCTTCATTTGTAATACCTCAGAACTGAAAACAATCTTCAATGGCCATTAACCAGAGAACTACACTACCGGCTGAAAATCCCTAACCCAAAAGTCTAAAATGCTCTGCTAAGCCATTTGGCTGGCCCTTGCTTTTTCCCTATTTGTGCTTATATTCCCTACATTTTTGGGTTTGTTTTTTTTGTTTTTGTTTTTGTTTTTTTTGCATTCCTTTATCAGCTTTTTAAACATTTTTACATTTGTTAATCCATATCATATTAGTAGCATCACAGTCTGTAATCTAGCTTTTTGAGAAATCATTCATATTTTCCTTTGAGATACTCCTAGGAGCCACATTCTTCCGTTTCAGAAGGGACTTACTGGACACAGGCAGGAGCGCGTGTGATACCGAGGGACCCTCAGGGGCTGAGCACGCGGAAGGGAAGCCCGCTCGTTACCTGGCAGTTCTTCCCAGTGTAGCCCAGGGGGCAGGTGCAGCGGTAGGTGCCCAGGCCATCCACACACGTGCCCTCGTTTAGGCAGGGATGGGAGCTGCACTCATTGATCTCGTGGAGGCAGAAGGGACCAGTGAAGCCCACCGGGCACAAGCAAGAGAAGGCGTTAATCCCATCCACACAGGTGCCGCCATTGAAACAGGAGCTGGGGAGCAAAGAGGAGCAAGCTCAGTGAGGGAAGGCTTGCTCTGGGCTGGTGTTTGAAATGCAAAGTTTCCAGAATATTGGGTGTTACAGCAGCAAGACCCCTGAGCATCCCAAAGCCCTATTATCTACTACATTTTGCTTCCTCTCAAACTAGTCTAGTACGAACATTCTTTCTACAGCCAAAGGTTTAGGAATATTTAAATGTCTGGGATTATTGCAGATTCCTAGGGAAAGTGAGATTTTCTTCTGGAGTTTCCCACATCAGAGTTTATTACTAAGTCAATTTGCTTTATATCAAAAATGCTAAATAAATGCTCTTAATTCTAACTTTCTTTATGAAAAACAGAACAAATATGTTACTAATATAAAGAAACAGAACAAACCTCCCAGAAATTAAAGAGTGATAATAAATCTGCAAAGAAATAGGAACTCTTAGAACAAGAAACCAAATAGAAAACAACAGAATTATAGCTCTTTCTGTTCTCTAAGCAAGAGAAGCTTTATGTTAAGCTTTTCAACCTCTGACCTCTGACTTCTGACCTTCTAACTCTGTATCTCTTGTTAGGTGTGGTGATGTAGGCCTACAACCCCAGCACTCTGGGAAGGTGAGGCAAGAGGATTCCAAGTTCAAAACTATCCTGGGAAACTTGGAAAACTTCAGGAGACCTTGTCTCAAAAAATGAAAAGAAACTGGAGATGTAGCCTGGGCTAAATCCCTAGTACTGAAAAAAATAAATAAATAAATAAATAAAAAACATTATATGTCCATTAGGACCCAGGACCTGAGTGATGAGAGACAACCCTGGAGTGGGACCCACGCGGAGGCCGCACAGGCCCAGTTTCTCCCCGTCTCTCCCTCTCCCACTTCAGACACCAACCTCTCGGTGCACTCATCGATGTTGTTCTCACAGTGGACTCCATCGAAGCCCGCTGGGCACTTGCAGGTATAACTGTTGACGTAGTCAGAGCAGGTCCCTCCGTTCTTGCAGGGTTCACTGAGGCACTCGTTCATGTCCGTCTGGCACTTATCCCCAATGAAGCCAGGAAGGCACACACAGGAGAAAGTATTCACTCTGTCCACACAGGAGCCTCCGTTCTGGCAAGGATCTAAGCCATCACAGAAGAATTAGAGCGCAGAATAGCAGCAGTCGTTTAACTTAGACTCACAACAGTGAGTGATCTAAGTTATGCTAAGCCCAGTTCTGACTTTTGGACGTGGCCTCCTCACAGTATTTTGGCCTGAATCCTTCATTTAAGAAAATATATTCAGTAATACATGTCTGAGATTTTAACTGGCTTAACTGATGGGATACAATTAATTTGTATTGTTTCTAACCATTTTATAGAATTACTTGAATCGTACAATGTTAGAGAGCACCAAGCTGCACTCCCCTGAGAAACAAAGCCCCTGGCCACCATCTCTGGCCGACCTTTACTTCAGCCCTATTTGCTGAGATGAGCAGAGTTGCATATATATATAGAAGCAGATGCTCCCTTCACTGGCCACAAGAATGTGACTGTGCCCTGCGGGCAGCCACAGAAGTGGTCTGAGGAGGCTCCGGCAAGAGCCTGTGAGATTCCAGGGCTCAGACACGAGACAGCATCTCAGCTGAGGCCCAGGACTGAGAAAGAATCGCGCACCCCTGGCAGCAGAGGAGCCGGCCTTGCACACATTGCGCTCGCAGTCTGTGCGTCCTGAACTGGGCACCCTCGGTGCCCGCCGCAACAGCGCCGCTTCTCCCTACATGCCATCCCTGCCAAGGTTCTCCTCCGTGCACTCTGTGGCAGCTTCCGCCCACCTCCCTGGCTGGTGCCAAGACCAGCCGCGAGCACTCTGACTCTTGGCCCTTTGTTCCACAGGAAGGAGCGGGTTATTCCAGAGCCCTTCAACTACAGATTTTTCTTTCTTTTCATCTGTGTGCTGTACCGCTGGGTGGGAGACAGATACCCTCTGCAGGGGTTTCAGTAATAAAATTTGCACTGACCCCCCATATTTACAATCATATATGCGACCTAACACGTAGGCCATCAAGAGTATCAATCAATATTTTTAAAAGGTTTATGTGGGAAGTGGATAAAAGAGAACAGGAAAAAATATATATATACGAATATATATATGTATTCATATATATATGTGTATATATATATATATATATACTCTTCATTCCAAGAACTTAATCATCCCCACACCCACGCACTCTCTCCAATTCTTTTCATCTGTTTTTTTGTTCTTTCCTTTTAGATTTAAATCATTTTAGGAAACAAAGATTTTTTTAACAAGTTTTTAAATATCACACAGTCTGATTTTAGAACACTCCACGCTCACCGCAAATCATCAAATGTTGAGCTACAATCAATCATTTGACGGTCCATCTCAATACAGAAGGCATACAAACCAATACAAGTAAATCCAAAATGTAGTGGCTGCTCTTGTGGACATTGAAATGCAATTGCAAAGATGGGTCATCAGTTTTAAAAAACCTAAACACTGCACTAAAGGGTAAAGTACCTCTGCTTTAGTAAAGTGCTATTTACTATACCTCATTTGTCTGTCAAACTAATTCTGTCACACTAAAGCCTTATCTGCAGTCATTAGAGCAACCAAATGGTACATTTCTTAACCGAAGCATAGGGCCAGGGAGATAGCTCAGCGGCATAAACGCCTGCCTGGCAAGCACGAGGTCCTGAGTTTGATTCCTGGTAACAACAACATCCCCCAAAAATCAAAGTACACAGTCACTATAATTTTCATTAAATGCTTGGAGAAACTCATTAAATTTATTGAATTATTTTATACTCCCTTTAAACACTGCTGCTCCTACTTCATATAAGATACTTTACTGAATATTTGGCAGCGAATGTAGGAAAGAAATCCAAATGATCTGAACCTGTTATCTAATTTCTCCATCAACTGTGTCTTGAATGTGTATTTTTTCACCATGTCAGAAAGTATTAAAATTATCCATCTGCATGTCTTTCCTCCCTGGCAGATGACAGGGCTTCCTGAAGGGAGAGCAAAGGTTGTATTTATCCTGGCACTTGCAGCTCCAAGCCTGTTGCCCTGCATATCTAATCTGGAAAAATATATCCGATGATAAAGAGCGCTGCTGTTCTCCGTGTGCTACAATAGGCTCGTTGAATGGCCACACAAGTAACTGAGCACCCACATGTGGTGAAACTATTCAGGCTGGGAGAAGAACCACCTGAAATGAGGAGGGACCATCATCTCTAGAGTCTTCAGCAGGCTGAGACTAGCTCATCTGCATTTAATCAAAAAGAATCATGAGGCACTGAGGAGAAGCCTCAGAGAGGGCTGTACTTTCTCAGTAGCGAGCTACATGAACCCTACCCGAAGGCTGCTCTGGATCAACGTGACAAGCTCCAAAAGAAAGATTCAAAACAATCAAACTGTTTCCAAATAATTGAGTCCCTAAATAAAGCTTAAAAATACTGTATCTAAGAGTTTTGTTTTTTTTTTAATTCAGCACGAAGTAATGTAGAACTGACAATGACTAGCGTTCAATAAAATACTTCCAAGCAGAGAAGCAGGAAACACAGCTTCAAAGAGAACACAAAACAGGATTGAAAACAGAGCCAGGAGCACCTCATAAGGTAAAATGGCAGATAAGACAAAAAAAATTACTGACAATTACAAAACTGCTCATTTCCATATGTTCAAGCAGAAAAGAAGGAAAATGACATACATAGAGAAAAAGCTATAGGAAAGACTCAGATTCAAATTCTGGAGAAGTAAAATGTCTGAGGGAAAATACAGAATAGGATTAGTAGCCAACGAGATAGCTCAAATGAAACAATGCCTGAACTTGAAAAACCCAGCCGGGCACATTCAAATAGAATATTCTAAAATAAGACACTGGGGGTCAGGGAAGAAACACTTTATTGAATATTGGTCAATAGGGGAATGCTTTCAAAAGGTCTAACAAAAGCTGGGAAGGAGAGGGGGACATTTCCTCTAAAAAATAATGTTTGAATATTCTGCAAATCAGAACCCATGTATCCTAAAAGATCAGGGAACCCCAAATCTCATGATCTCATGATCAAAGGAACATGAGAGCACTATCGACAAGCAAAATACGCAAACTGCTAAAAATCAGTAGAAAATTAATATTTCAAAAGCAGCCATAGGAGAGAAAATTATATAGAAAGGAGTATAATAAAGCGTCATAGAACATTTCCCCTCAGAAATAATGCAAGTAGGACAATTTCAGCGCTGAAGAGGAAAGTCAGCTAGGAATTGTTTTCTGTGTAAATGTCTTTGAAAACTACAGCAAAGTCAAAACATAAGAGCAGGAAAAATTCACAGAAGGAGCACCACATAAAATGTTAAAGAAATGCTTCAGACACTAGGAAAACAAGAAGTAACCGAAATACTAATCTCTGCCGCAGATTGGAAGTAAATATGCAGGCAAAATAAGGACTTTTAAATTATTTAAATTTCTTTTTAAAAAAATTTACCATTTAAAGCAAAAATAATATATTTGAAAGCTTAATGATACATAAATTATACATAAACAATACAAAGCTGGGGAGATAGCTCGGCAGTGTAAGCACCTGCCAGGCAAGCGCAAGGACCGGGGTTCAATCCCTGGTACCGCAGGCTGTGCCAGCCCTGAAACCAGGTGTGGCAGTGCACACCTATAATCCTAACACTGAGGCAGCTAAGACAGAAGGATCACTAAGAGTCTGAGCTGTGTAGCGAGACCCTGTAACAAGTAAATAAATAAATATAAATTTAAAAAAAATGCAAAAGAGAGCAGGAGTGTAAAAATAAGTTTACTGTTACAAGGCTCTTTTTTTTTTTCTATGTAAAGTAGTATAACTGAAGTGGATTATAATGAGCTCAAGTTGCATACACCAACCACAAAAGGGATGTATCTAATATGTCAGCGAGAAAACAAAAACGAATCATAAAAAGCACCCATAAATATGGCACTGTTACAGTGGAGCAAATACACCTTTCACAAGAAACCCATCTTCAAGACACATGTCAAAACTAAAAAGAAGAAAAAAATACCCATCCTAATAACCAAAAGAAAGCTAGAGGAGCTATAGATCAGTATGAGGCAAAATAAAATTTTGAGCAACAACTATGCCAAGAGTTAAAGAAGGTCATTTAATAATAATAAAGGGGTTAATTCTCCAGGAAGACAGAGCGACTCTGCATGTGTATGCTGCTTTATGCCAGAGTTTCAAAATAATTAGGAAAAAGACAGGAGAAACAGGTAAATACAGCCTGATTTTGGGAGACTTCAACCTATTTCTGTAAATAATTGATAGAATAAGAAGACAGAAAACATGGAGGATACAGAAGATCTGAATGACACTAACTCACTTGAATGAATAACATTTATATATTAACCTGTACATTACGCATTACATTACTAGAAGAATTGAGTTTGTAGTTAAAAACTTTACAAAAAGAAGATTCTATGCCTGTTTTTTTGGAGTACAAATATTCTAATTATATAGAAACTCTTCCAGAAAATAACAAGGAAAAAAATATAAAAATTTTACAAAATGGGGCTAAATCTCAATGATCTTAAAGCTTTGTTAAATAAAATATACGAAATAGGGACTATAAAAGAAATATACCTTATAATTTCATCAATATTAATAGCTTTTGCTGCAAAAGACCAAGAAAACCTATAACTTCTGATGAAACAGTCAAGCAAATATCTGACAAATAATTTTATCTGAAACACAAAGAACTCTTTCAATTCAATAAAATAAAAAATAACAATCCAAGATTCTCAAATGGCCAAAGACTTGAACAGACATTTCAGCAATCATATGAAAAACTGGTTATCGTCATTAACAAAAAGGGTAATGTAAATTAAAATCATAATGAAACACCACTATATATCTGCTAGACAAGCCAAAATTGAAATAACTATGTAGTAAATTACTATGAAATTACTATGTAGTAAACAAATTCTTTACAATTCTGGTTGGAATGAAAATGGTACAACCATGAAAAATATTTTGGCAATCTCTTAAATGTTGAAGATACACTGACTTATTACATCCCTTCTACTCTTTGGTATCAAGAAAAATGAAACCACAACCACATGTATGACATCTTCATTTGTAATACCTCAGAACTGAACACAATCTTCAGTGGCCATTAACCAGCGAACTACACTACAGGCTGAGAATCCCTAACCCAAAAGTCTGAAATGCTCCAAGAGCTCAGTGTGAACATGTATCACAAGCGAAAAGTCCACAGCCAGCCTCATGTGATGAGCTGCAGTCAAAATGCAGGTAAAAGTATGGCATAAAGCTGCCGTCAGGCCTTGTATGAAGGGTACATATGAACACAGAAGTGAATTTCATGTTCAGATTTGGGTGGCGTCCCCATATTGCTTCACTGTATACATGAATACTCCAAAATCCAAAAATATCTTAAACACCTCTGATTTTAAGCAACTCAGATAAGGAACACTCCAATTGTATATCCATACAGTAAAATACTACTCATCAATAAAACACAATAAACTACTGCTACTAAGGAGCAAAATGCACATCACAAATTTTATGCTGAGTGCAACAAGTCAAAACCTTTCTCTCCAAAGAGCATGTTTGTATGACTGCACATGTATAAAATAATAAAAAGAAAGGAATGCCAGCTAATTTGTAGTGACTGAAAGTAAATCTCTGGCAGTACCAGACAAGAGAAGTGGAAAGGAAGATTAATTACAATTGGATGAGAATGCTTATAGGGGGACCAACATGCTCAGCACAGGCAGTGATTTTGGTTATCGTATCCCAAAATCTCATGAATTATACACTTAAAATACGTTTTATTGCATTATCTCAAAAAATATGCATGAGAAAACTACCATAGCACTGTCACACTGTCCCTATTTGGCCAGTGCTCAAAATGCTACACAGAAATGCTCAAGATTCCTTTCACTTGGTTCCTAAAGACAGTAACTTCAAAAGGAAGGTTTTAAAACACCCAGGGAGCACCAGGTGTGGTGGTTGGTGCACACCGAAGATTGCAGCTACTAGGAAGACCAAACCAAGAGATCTTGAGTTGAACCAAGACTAAGCAACTAAAGGACACCCATTTCAAAATTCAAAATGATTATGTTGCAGATTTTGAAAGCCTTTGGTTAAATCCCTAGGACCACCAAAATAATGACAATAATAATAATGATGATAATGGTAATAATAATAATGATGGGTACTGCCAATGGCCTAGAGGCAGCAGCAGCCCCTGAATCCCTCTCCTCGGCTCCCTTGAGCTGTTCCTCCGTTGGAGGCTTAGCAGCTGACCGGCATACTCACTGGCGAGGCAGTCATCGATGTCCTCCTCACAGTCCACACCACTGAAGCCCGGAGGGCACTCACACATGTAGCTGCCCTGGGTGTTATGGCAGAGGCCATGGTTCATGCAGGGCTTGGAGACACACTCATCGATGTCAATTGTACATCGCTGACCTGGACCCAAGGAACATGAACTGCCGTCAGTCTTTGGAAGCTGATTCCCACAGAAATCTATGTGGGGCCTGAGCTTAGCTGGGGCGGGGGGTACATGAAGGTCACCCTGGCTGGTCTCCTACTTCAGGAAGTCTTTGTACTCCTGGGAAATTTCTTCTAAGGTACAAGAACTCCCTCTAGAAAGAGCATGGTTTGAGACTTTTGATTTGGAGCCGGCAACCACTAGGGGGCCCCAAAGACATGAACGATGCATTACACCAAACAACTACTGTGCAAAGACTGAATGCTTTGCAATGACCGGCAGGGCCTTTATGTCGTCTGCTGACTTGACCACCTTGTCTAAAGGTCAGAAGAAAGGCCCATGCTCACTGCCCCACCTCCAGCTCTTACCTCGCCAGCCGGGTGCACACAAGCAAGTGTAACTCTCAAAATTAGGTGCCTCTTTACAAACAGCAGCATTCTCACAAGGGTTTGGGGAACAGGGAGCCAACACTGTTTGACAATTCTTGCCTGGAAAGTAAATGATAAAAGCTCAAGAGAGAGAACCAGCCAAAGAGAGTAAAATTTCTCCAAATTGCACGCTTAGCATGCCTTCAGAATTTAAGTCTAAAGTAGTGGTTTGGAGGCTCTGGAGTCTGAGAAAGTCTGATCCTCTGGTCTCATACTGCTGACTTTGTAACCCTGGAAAAGCTATTTTCTCTAAGCCTTCCTCATGAATAAATAAGAATCAGGAGGGTATGTAACTCTGAGGATTTTTAAGGATTAAGTGAAAAAAAGACAGATTAGATTATTTGCTAATCAGGTGCACAGTGTGCATCCAAACATGATGAGGCCACGATCACCTTCACGGTTAGGAGTGGCCCTTTGGGTCCGAGCAGCTGCACCACAGCAGACAGGCCCTGCACCTCGCAGCTAAGACCTAGCTGCGCACACACTCAGCCTCACACGGGCACCTTGGGCTCACCCGGGAAGCAGCAGCAGCAGCACAGCCTCCTGATCCTCCAACCCAGCCACCCTGCGGTGGGGGCTGCGGTTGACCAGAAGGCACATCAGAGGTGAGAAATGGGGAAGGGGCTCCAGTTTCTGGGCACCTTGTCACTTTGCAATGATACCAACGTGTCACCGCTTCCTGCACTCCAACACTTTCTGCCTTATTAGCATATTACATATAAGCTTCCAGTAAAAGAATATGGAATAAAAATGTTTAAATTAAAAGGGGGATGAGGTTGGTCTTAAGGTCAAGTTGTAACAAACACAACTTAAACTTTTACTTTTAAAATGTGTAGGAAAACAAAATACTGCAAAATTTCACCAAAAATGGCCCTAAACCAGTCTTTACCATCCGGTCAGAACAGAGACCTACAAAGGACAGGAGCGCAGCTCTGCCGGGCAAACTGTACAAAGCCTAGAAATTTCAGCCACATGGAATTAAAATGCCAACCTACAGTCTGCTGGTTAGATTTATTTTTCCAAGGCCACACCCTGTAAATTCTTTCACGGGATTATTCTCTAATGAAAGATCAACCGCTCACACACAGCCAAAAATTCTTAGTGGATCTGAGTGGTATGATGACAACACAGGCTTTCTCAAGAGGAGTGGACATCTGAGACACACGGCACGTAACCCTGTGAGGTGGTCAACCATGGTCACAGGTATGTCCCCATGGCTGCCAATCCCGAGTCTTCACAGTCACAAGATGACCTCACTACTGTCTCTGAGCAAGGACATTATTCAACACTATGCTTGGGTCTGAAGTTCATCTGAATTCTTTGTAGCCTTGATTTTAAAAGCCAGGCAGGTTAAATGCAATTTCTCTACAATAGTATTTATTCCTTTTTTTTTTTTTTTTTTTTTTTGGCGGAACCGGGGATTGAACTCAGATCCTTGCATTTGCCAGTCAAGTGCTTATCCTACTGAGTCATCTCCCCGGCCCAACAGTATTTATTCCTTCACCGTAGTACAGCGAGCAGCACGCAGCAGTCTTTTTGTTGCACCTGTGGCCCTCCTGCTGCTCCGCACAGCTCAGATCACGATGCCTTGCTGTAACTAACAGTCCAAGACTCCCAGAGACGAGTAACACAGGCACGACACAAGCAAACCCGCAACTCATGGTTTTGTTCCCAAGGAGGAGGAGCTTGGTAAGCAAGGCATATACAAGCACAACCAATCACAGACTAGTTATAAGAGAAAGAAAAAGAAATGCCTCAAGCACATGGCAAAATACCTCCTGCAACGAAGAGCACCTGACGTAAAATGACAATCTCATCTGTCCCTGCTCTGGGTGTGGACCAATCCCAGGGTGAGGCTTTCGAGTGAAAGAGAGGTAGTGAATGCAGGGAAAGGAACGGCAGACACCAGGAATCAGACTCACGGGAAATCCTAGATCTTTAGCCTACTTTTCTGAGTTCCCTTTGGCTCAGCTTTGTCACGTATAAATTGATGACAGGATAGTCTTCATTGCAGAATTACTGAAGATAATATTAAACAGCTCAAAGTACAAAAAGTACGTGGGTTCTAGCCACGTGGCTCAGTGGCAGAGCTCTTGCTTAGCACATGTGAGGCCCTGGATTCAACCTCCACCACTGCCTACAAGAAGCATCTAGTGTACAGTAAATTATCAATAAATGGTAGTTGCATTATTGAAATTAAGACTAACAGCAAAGTTGATGGAAATGTAGTCTATCTGGTGACAGATGAAAGCATCAGCTATGTATCGGGTTTCATCCATACATAATTTTTTTAAAAATTCAAACTCCAAAGCATAAAGAGGGCCAATGTATTTCTCCATACCATGTATTTTCAAAACTCAAGATGCAGTCAGCAAGCGCCGGAAGGCCAGCCAGGCAGCGCCTCCTCAGCGCAGCACCCGTGCCCCACAGACCTGGACCCGAGACTCAGACACACGCACTGACGCCGCGGCACACACCTGTGTAGGGCAGCTCACACTGGCAGGTGTAGCCACTGACATCATCAAAGCAGGTTCCTTGGTTCAGACATGGGTTTGAGGCACATTCATCAATGTTCACCTGGCAGTTGTAGCCTGTGGGAAACCACACAGAGTGAAACTGTCCACCTGCTCCTTACCTGACCTACTGACTCCCTCTCGCAGGGGTAAAAAGACTGAAGTCATTTCTTTAGGTGACTGGACACCTTCTCATTCATACTGGTCACAAGGCCCAAACATACTGTCAGTTGCTAAATGGTCAATCAGTCAAACAGATGGAAGAAAGAGCAATCTGTTCCAAGGGCCTGAAAACCTAATGCTCCTCCAAATACAGGTAATTTCTCAATAACGGAGCTAGAAATTTCCTTAAGGCTACAAAACTTGCTGTTTGATGCAAACAGGAAGGATGTTTTTGTATAAAGTGTCCATTCAGGAAAAAAAAAAGAAAATATTTTTGAGCACAATCAAAGCCGCTGGCTTACGCTCATTGGTTCATTTACAGACTCTGTCATCAATGAGGAGCTTCCTCAGGTCATAGTGCTGTTTCCTCCTGATTCAAGGCATGAAAATTACTCCCGTAAGAAAGGGAGAAAAGTAATGGGTAGTAGGGGTAGTGCAGCACCCTTTGTATTTTCAATATAGTCTGGCACAGAGCCTTAAAATAGAGCAACTGTAACACCTGGAGGAAGAAACTGCTGGTCTAGGAACAGAGGTCTGGGTTCAACTGTACTGTACTCTTCACAGGGCGGGGCACTTGGATTTTACATTTTCATTTTTAGTGTTCTAACTGATAACCAACTCTCCATGAGATCAAGAAAGGAATGTGCTTCTGAAGCTAAAAGTTTCTTAGTAAACATATTGCAATATATCAGAAATTAATAATTTAAATACAATCTCAAAATTTTCAGATACAGGCTAAGTATCCCTTATCTAAAACGTCTGGTATCAGAAAGATTTTTTTTTTTTTTAATTTATTTAGGAATTGTAGGGAGGTTATAGACAATGAGATGGCCTGAGGCTGGGACCCAGGTCTAAGTAGAAAATACATTTATATACATAGACTGAAGGTCATTTTTATACAAAATTTAAAAATAATTTTGTATATGAAACAAAGTTCACACACGAAGTCAGGGGTGGCACCACCACGTCCGAGAACTCTAAAAGTTTTGGATTTTGAAGCACTTTTGGATTTCAGCATTTTGGACGGACATGCTTGTTCTGTAATTAAATAAAGTGGCTCTAACATGTATCATTCTGATGTATCACAGTCGCCAAGTACATTTATGAGTGGGTAACTATGTGTATAGATGAGTATAGATATAAATAATTTACCTATTCATGTATCTCTCCTAACAGAATTACAACAGAAACAAGTGTAAAAAGAAAAAAAAAAAAAAGACTCTACATAATGTTCATGCTATGCCTTTTTCGAGAAGGCAATAGGAAACTAAGTATCTAAGAATATCTCCATGCATAAGAGTTGGTTCGAACACATGACTAAATTATCCTAGAACCAAACCTAGATCAAGCAACTTGCCATGAGACACGTGTCCAAAGTTAACCACCCGAGGCACTACTGTTTCAGCAGCTTACCTCTCTGCTAGGTAAAGGGAGAACTTGTGCCTGCCCATGTCTCCCAAACACTACCTGCTCAGCATGTGCCACTGCATGGATGAGCAATGAACGCAAGCGAGCCCAGCAGCAGGGCACAGATGCGAGAGCACATGCGCAGCACGCGCTTTCACTTTACCTTTGAAGCCCTTCTTGCAAGCACACTTGTATCCATTCACCAGATCGTCACAGGTGCCTCCGTTCTGGCACGGGTTCGAAAGACACTCGTTTTTGTCCACTTCACAGTTGATTCCATCCCAGCCTGGATCACAAAGGCACTTATACCTGAAAGGTGGCAGAATTTTGTCCTTGTAAGAGGTCAGATGTACAAAGGGTCACAGGGTGAAAGAAAGGAGTTGGTGAAGAAGTGAGGGGACACAGGAGTTCAACGGCCACTTCCCTATCAGTCCTCTACAGCCATATACCTGCATCACCATGCACGTGGTGTAAATCATATGGGCTACCTATTGTGTGGGGGTCATCAATAAGCTAGTGGTGCTGATTAATTATAATGAAATTTCATATATAAGCAATGGCTTCTCAGATATATTGGGCCAATCAGAAGGAAACACAAATGTACATAAATCTGCTTGGTTTATTATATACAAACAAAGGCAGCTTATGACGCCTGCAAAAACGGTTAACAGGAAATAGATTGGGCCTCAGGCCCCTGGGGAGCTCCTAGGACACTTTACATCTGAGTCACACTTTGTTGTAACAGGAAACCCTGTCTCTGGGAAGCATCTATGAGTAAGAAAACGCACAAAAATGAAAATATCTGAAATATATATAACCTCCGATCTGACTATCATAGCACTAAGAATGTGAAATCAAAAGATAATAGCCATCTTATTTAGATTATAAGAACAGAGTAGATGAGAGGGATACTTTGAAGACTGATATTCTGAAACAGGAATGTTGAGTTAATTCATTATCCAAAAAACTTTGTTTCCCATGTAGCCCTAGACCATGTTTTTCCTTCACCTGTGGGAAAGCTGGCAAATGGCAACGCTCAAAGCCTATCACATGGCAAGCTCAAGGGACCAAAGATTATCCCACAGTTACAAAGCCTACCAATACGTCACACAATTCTGAGAGGTACACCAACTATAAATGTTTTACCAGAACTACAACTGAAGTTGGCTAAAACAACTCCACCCCTGCATCGAGGTACTAGGACAAAAAAAAGCTGGTCTATGTTTAAGCAAGGGGTAAAAACTGAGCTAGAACTTTCCTCAAAATCCTGTAATAAGTATTAAAACATAATTGCCAAAGAATCATGAAATAAGTATGGATTCCTCACATGAAATCCTTCTGATCACTTAGGTAAAGGACACGATCCTTCCTGTAATCCTAGTGCTAGGGAGGCTGAAAATAGGAGGATCACTACTAGTCCACAGTGAGACCTTATACGAAATACATTAAAACAATAAAAAATAAAATAAAATACAGCGAAAGCAATCCTTGTGTGTCATCCAGGACATCAGTCATAGAAGGAGGGGTGCTGGCCCTAGCTCAGTTCTTTAAGGGGGCTGCTTCCACAAAGCTGGGAGCCTCAGGTTGCTGTAGTTCGATCCCCACAACACTCCAGCCAGCCAAAAGTGCCCTGAAGGCATTCAAGGAGCAAAAAAAAAAAAAAAAAAAAAATCCTTATTCCATTTCTTCAATCCCCGGTCGCACAAAAAAAAAAAAAAAAGAAAAGAAAAGAATCATAGAAGGAAAGCCAACTTCCATTGACCAAGGGACACTCTGAAAAACTTTAAGAGGCTACCAAAACCTGCAGCCGAGTTTCAGGTCAAGTTTCCCACATAAGCCTCCAATTTTCTTCTTCACATTATCACCAATACTAAAAGCCAAACGGCTTGGCCTAGAGAAATCAAACAGTGTTGGCACACGGCCGCTACTCACCCACTGAGGCCCCCGGTGCAGTTCCCGTGGAGGCAGGGGCTGCTCAGGCACTCATTCACCTGCGAGTAGCAGCTGAGATGATGGGGACCTTCAGGGCACACGCAGCGGAAACCGTTCACGTCGTTGATGCACGTGGCACCCTTGCGGCAGGGGTTGGAGGCACACTCATCGATGTCAATGTTACATCTCTGCCCTGCAGAGAAGGGGTAGTGTTATGCAAATTCCACTGCTCAAGGAACAGACCCCAACTAGGCAGATCCTCTTTATCTGCACAGCCTATAAGGTGCTCTAGGGTGGCAAATGTCAAGATGTTAGAAATAAGACATTTGAAAGCACCTCATGCATGCAGAGAGGTAACGAGCACAGTAGCATCTGATAATGAAGCAAAGTTAACAGAACACTGAAACAGAGCATTTTGATAACTATAGATAGATAGATAGATAGATAGATAGATAGATAGAGATATAGATATCATTCTGCTTCAATTTAGGAATGGGGAAACTTCGTAAGGCATTGAAGGAATCACAAATGTCATCAGTGTCTTAAGAAAGCTATTTGTACTCAAAAAAATGTCCTCACGCTAGCCTCATGACATGCTTTCTGCCAGCCTGCCACAGGCTCACTGCTTCAGTTAGCCAATCTCTTATAAATCACAATTAACTGGAATACTTAGTCAACAGACTAACTTAGGTTAATGATTACACTGACTAAGAAGAAAAGCTATTCTGTTTTCATTCTTATAGTTTCATTAATCGTTTTCTGCCTCAAGAGGCAATCTCTAAGCATGATTTTATTGCTCCTTAGTAACTAAGAAAACAATTCCATGTCTCCCCGTGTACTCCGGTGGCTCTCAAACTTTAACATGTGGAATACTCAAGGTATTTCTAAATGAGATTCTTGGGCCCTACTGCCACAGACTGAAATACAGGCTTCCAAATACTAGACTGGGAGAAATCCTGCCCTAAGGAATTATACTTAACACCCTGTAGTAGTACAGATGATGGGAGTATATGACGTTGAAGGAAGTTCTTCCTCCACAACATGCCCGAGACTGAAGTGTGAAACGAGGTCTGTGACAGCCTTGCTCCTCACTACTCTGGGCTGAATCCATTCCCAAGTACCAGCTTTTACAAGCGCTTTGATTTGTTAAAATTTCAATAATTGAGACTGAACTACATCCTCTGAAATAATGTGGAATTTAAAATTTTCTAATAATTCTAGAAGTGAGTGAAATCAAGCAACTGCTGTGAAGGAATTTATAAATTTTAAAGACTACAATGCTCCTGATTCAAAAGTTTTCAAAAATGCACCTTGTGGGGCCTTGGGAGATGGCTCAAATAAGTGCTTCCCTGGCAAGGGCAAGGGCCTGAGTTCAATCCCCAGTTCAAAAAAAAAAAAACAGAATTAAAAAAAAATGCACCTTGTTTAAATTTAAGAAAGAGCAACCTTGCATTTAGCACAGGAAATTCCAAATGAAACAGATACACACCCTGTAAAGTACGGGTATTAACATTTTTTCACCCTCCGTTGCTCTCCAAACCATTATTGGTGGTTCTTGTGGTGAAGACCCATAATCTGGAAGTGGTTACTCCTTGCTTCTAAGCATTTTATTAAGAACTCAATTTAAAAATACTTTTTCCTTGACCTCGACCACTGGTTCTTTGAGATGTTTGCCAGTGGCACCAGAATACGAACTAGAGTCCCTACAGAGCTGCCTGGGTCTGCGGTTCCCTGAAGGATGACAGGAAACAGCCTCGTTCACTGCTGGCTCTTTCAAAGCATCTCTGTAGACGTCACTTTTCCCGGTTTTCTTTCTGTATGGTTTTGTTTGCTTGTTTGCGGTTTGTTGTTTAAGAGATGGGGTCTCACTATGCTGCTCATACTGATTTGGAGTCCCTAGGCTTGAGTGGTTCTGCTGCTTTTTCCAGTATATATATGCATGTATGTGCTTCTGTATGTATTTATGTGTGTAGTGTGCTGGGCATGAAACTTGGAGCCTTGCACATGCTAGGCACATGCCCTACCTCTGATCTACCTGCACAGCCCTTCATTTGAGGTGAAATTTTTCCTGCAATAGCTATGCAGGCCATCTTTATGTGAGAGTACTAAGCACCTTACTGCCCTGCTGTGTGGGCTGGCAGGTGCTCCAAGAGCCAGGTCCTGCTCTCTCAATGTCCACCCAGCATCAGACAGAGCTCAACCACGTACCGTGGAGGTTCAGGGATTGCTGCAATGAGCAGTTATTTTGAGTTTTCCACTCAATAAGGACTCCAAGAATCGGTACTTGCTGAACAGTACAGTCTAGACACTAGATTCTGGCTGGAGAGCAAATGGGTTGTATGCGGGTCCTACTCATCCATCCATTCAGCCAGATTTCCGAGCAGTAGATACTGCCAACAGGGAGACTAAGGGTGTCCCTGCCTGCTGGGAATTCACAGTGCTCTGACTCGCCCGAAAACACGAGCACAGCAAGCTCCACCGCTCAGCGGCCTTATTTGTTAAGAATGCAGCAGAGATTCCTTTCTGGACTGTTAGAATTTAAGAACACAATGGGTTTGGAGATGCTTTAGAAACCAGAATTTGAGGGCCAGCCAGATAGCTCAGCAGATTAAAGCACCTGGTCAGGCAGACACAGGGACCAGGGTCCAATCCCTGTCATAATGTGCCGGCCCTGGGGCGCACTGAAACGGCGCATAGAAAAAACAATTTTATAGTTTGTAGTACCTTGTAGGATTAGCATATGATTCCTTACTTTCCTGCATTTAATCAGAAAGTATCAAAAAGTCCTAAAATGGAATACTTTTTCTTTAAAAATCTTTTTTTTTTTTGTATTTTAGGGAAGGGTCTACAGAATGTTCAGGGTCTTACTACTAGATCGGACTCCTAGTGATCCTCCTGTTTACAGCCTCCCAAGAGCTGGGATTACAGGCTTGCTGCCACCACACCCAGTCTCAAGTCACTGTCTCAGTGTGCCCTGGGGGGGGTGCAGGGCCAGCAAGGCAGGCCTGGGATCAAACCCCTGGCCCCTGCCCCTGCTCCAGGCGCTTTAATCCGGTGAGCTATTTGACAGGCCCTCCCTTTAAATCTTTTAAAGCTATTATTAAAATAGTAGGAGAAAAACATTAAAATAAAGAGAAAGAATAAAACACCTCATATTTACTGTTCATGGGTATAGAGAGTCATCGTAGATGATTTTTCACTAGTTGATGTAAAAAAACCAAAAAAACCCTCAGCCACAGAAACCAGCTCCAAGAGCAGGGTAACAGCCAGTAACCAAAGCATTCCATTTCTTTATTATGTGCTTTCACACTACGCTATGTTTATTTTAGAATATTTTTATATCTTCCTTGACCTTGCTGAGTTCCCAAATTGAAAAGAGAAATAATATGATTCACTGACATTTCAATAATAAGTTAGTCCAGTAGAAAGCCTTACATAAATCCCAAAATAAGCCACCGCGGGCGGAGGTTGCGCAGTACGCAAGGAATGGGCCCTGGCCCCGGCCCAGGCCACCAGGGTGGGGCCCCAGCTGCCGCACGGGCAGCATCATTCCACCTCTCTCAACCATGGATTTCTCGATACTCAGCAATGACAACAGCTTGGACTGAGATACGGCATTTAGTTGGACAATTAAGTCCTTAATACACATGAGCCATTCTTTTTACATTACTCACTTAGTGATAAGGCCTGACCATCCTACCTAGCACAGACGCCTGTGCCATCTGACTTTGGGGCACCAACTTTCGGGACAGACAAGTCCATCAGGCCACCACAGCAGCACGGCACCTGGGCATGAAAGCATTGGGCGCCACTGGCTTCTCGGTGCTCTGCGGTGAATGGGAGTCACTGAGACCTACCGGAGCCACCAACATTACTGTACAGGGCTTGCAGTCACAACAAGCAGTGGAAATGCTCATGAAACAGAACAAAGTTCCCAGCAAGCAAATGGCAGGCATCTTCCTCACTTGGGGCCCTTTGACAGATTCTTTCAAAAGCTCTGAAGGGAGCTTCTCACCTGGGGAACAAATGACCATGAGAATTATTCATGCATGAGTGCCTGCTGCAAGGCGACCTGTCCAGAAACAACAGAATACACCGTGTATTGTTCCTCTGATGATATCAATCACAGACTCTGGTGTAGGTGAGGACCAGGACTCCCCGGGAGCCTCCAGAATGTTGGGATCAGCAAGGTAAAGATGAAGGTAGTAGTAAGAAGGAAAAAGGAGAGAGGTGCATGGTGCGCGTGCGAACAAATGCAAATGCTCTACTGTTTATACTTTAGGAAGAATTAGATGCAAAATTATTTCATTATTTTTGTCTTTCTCACTCGTGGTAGGCAAATTAGGATGGTTCCTTCAAACAATGACCTCCTCCTTCTGAGATGAAGGACCCTGAGAAAAGCCACTGGCGTTTTCACACAGGTTTACCTTTACAGAAGACAGTGATCACTGCCTACAGGAAAACTAAGGTGGCTTTGGTGGCAACATAACCCATGAACAGCAATGGACCGCTATTGTTTGTTGGGGAATTATTCTCCAGCAGCCAAAAACATGTGGTCTGAGATCCTTAATGAATGAAATGGTAAGTTTCCATTTAGAAGACACTTAAAAGCCACACAGTGGCTTAGAGAAGAGCAGAAGCAGATTCCCACTTTCCAGAGAGACCAAGAAACAGGTGACATTTGAATGGCAATATCCCCTTAGACGTCATTTTCCCAAGTGGTGGTGCTGAAGGAGAGGCCCAGGACAGGCAGCATACCTGTGAATCCTGGCGAGCACACGCAACTGTAACGACTGACGCCATCCACACACACGCCATGGACACAAGGGTTGCTGGCACAGTCATCAAAATTAATTTCACAGTTAACTCCTGCGAAGAGAGGACCAAAGAGAAACGATTCCATGTTACCATACAAGCATTACAGTTGCTGCTTGTGACCTTATGCGTTAAGCAGTTTATGGAGAGCCCATGCACCCTGGCAAAGAATACAGCAACGCTTCTCAGAGTACAGCTCACAGAGTCTTCCAGGGAAGGGGGGTGGAATGTTCGTAGTGCAAGGCTGCTTATACTCATGCTCAGCCGTTATCTGTCCTTTTCACTGTTTGGAATTCACACTGGTGGTGCAAAGTAATGTGTGCAAAACTGCCGGCCTCTCATCAGGCAGCAGTACCAAGCTGTACTGCCCGTCACGGCCTTGTCACACCCGCAGGTCCAGATGTAAGCAAACCTGGGCGCCACTTTCACCTAAGAATGGCTTTCACAAAGGGGTTACAATGGTGGATTTTGTACCTTCACGAAATCCCAAACCTAGAGTGTTATCTCTACCACTTCATGTGAGGCAATGGGACGTACACATCAAGTACTTCTTTCTGTCCTTCTTTGTAGGACTAGAGAGCTCAAGCTCGAACCAGAGACCCCGGACAACATCCTGGGCCCCTTCTGGTCTTGATCCCTCTGGAAGGTAGAAATGTTGTGATAACCTTTATTTATTTATTTTAAAGGACTAAGTACATCCAATACGCACGTTGTAGCCTGAATGGAATAAAAAGAGAAAGGAAGGCTTACTGCCTGGTGCCTGCTTAGCTATGGACTGCTTATCCTCTGGGACGATCTCAAGCTAGTTTTTGTTACATAAAACCCAAAGAAAGTAATTACACAGTAACATCATGAAAGCAGATGAGAAAAGGCAACTGAAAGCGACTCTGCTATGGCGCCCTACCTTGGAATGAGCCAATGATGGACGGAAACCTCTACAAACTCTGAGTTAAACTTTTCCTCCTCTAACTTGTGTGTGTCCTGTATTTTGTCCCAGCAACAAGAAAGTGATTAAAACAGTGATTATTATGTGCACCTTTTGTGATTTTTCTCTATTCCTTTCAGCTAAGCTGAGAATCCAACTGAGTTACCCCTGTTTTAAAGATGGTACAGCATGAGTCAGGGCAAGCTGAGCTGAGAACTATGCCGTCTCTGGTCCCACAACTCTATGCCTTCTCCCATGCCATGCTTTTTTGCAGTTCTAAGGAGGCTGTCCTTTCTTACTAGCCATAAGGGAGAAAGCAATCTCTCCATATTCCAGTTACAGGCAAGTGCCCTTAGGAGTTCCTCCAGTCTTCCACTAACAACGCTCTTACTCTCCTTTCCTGAAGGCAGCCTGAGGAAGCCCCTGCAATCCAAGGTGGCTCTCGCTCCACGGCCGCTGTCTACTCAAGTGGAGCTGACATCTGGGTTAAGCCCAGTCAATGAATGTCTATATGGACATTTGACCTGCATGACCTAGGCCCACAAACTGCCCTGCTTTGTGCTCTTTTCTCCAAAGCCTTCCGATTCCATTCCTACTAAGAATCTGTAAGAGGCTTCTGTGTTCCTTCACGAGATTGTTTTTTTAAATCTGTATATAATAAGCATTTTTTCAGTAGACTATTTTGTTTGTTAACAATTTCAACTATCTCAAGCTGGTTTTTTGTTACATAAAACCTAAAGAAAGTAATTACATAGTAACATCAGAAAAGCAGATGAGAAAAGGCAACTAAAGGGGACTCTGAATAGTTTATTTAATTACCAGTGAGTGAAATTCACAGCAAAACCTAGCGAGCTACCACGTGTCTCTTCTCTGCAGACCCTGGCCCAAACACCAACCCACAGAAATGGACCAGACTATAACTGGGTCAAGGATTCAGACACTGGGAGAGGCTTCATAATGGCTCACTTAATGAACTTTCCACCCGGGTCCTGGCACATACAAGTCAAGTTCTTTCTCCACCCATGACAGACCAACAATTCTTTACTTTGCTGTAGCTCTTTGCCTGAATTCTTGCAACAGCTGCCGGAGTGGATCTGGCAGGGTTCTCAGACTTTCTGGGCCTTTCCTTCAAAGCTGCCTGTGCAGAAACTTGTATTTACTTCTTGCCTTTTTCTCAGTAACAGCTCCTTGCACCGTGGCTTCCCAGCCTCCCCAGAAAACACACCTGATCTGTCCTGACATAATGATCCAATCCCAGAGAAAACAACCCACTCGCCAATCCACCATTCACTCCACATCCAGGGAGTTTGTTATAACGAGGACCATGACAAAGCCGAGAGCAGTCCCTCCATTCTAAAGGCATCCACTCACTGCTTGTAAGTTGCTCCAATTTCTTTTCCTATGGCCATTGCTCATGTCTGGGGACCAGCCCGGAAGCAAATTGCCTTTGGAAGCTTCACAAAGATCCATTCAGGCCTTTGAGGGAGTTATCTCAGTGTGGGGAGGGGGAGGCATTCTCAGCTGTGAAGGCATGGGATGTTTTTCGTATGCTTGGGCAATTCAAAAAGGACTTTGTTTTTACACTTGGCCTGTGTGAGGCCCTGGATGAAGTCCAGACCCTGCAACAAGTTGGGAGAGATGGATTTGGAAATAACACAATCAAATGAGGGCAGCTACCTCCCCCTGCCTCTGCACAGGCCATTTTCCTTGAGTTCAGGATGAATGTCTGCATAAATCATCCCAATATTGGCAGCCTCCTCTCTAGCAAGGGCACACATCAGTTAATCTTCCACTCATACATCTGCCTTTGATCCAGGACACAGAACTTCTCTGTCCATTAGCCACGGTGGGGACCATAACCACCCTTCACATCTAAGAACCAGAAGGCGGTGAAGACTGAACCGCTGCTGCCTGCAAAAACCATTCCAAGTCTCCTCAAGAAGGTTCCGCAGTCCACACACCTAACAGGGGCCTTCCCACAGGGTCAGGGACTGCCATGGAACTCTGGGGACAGGCAGCGAGCTCTGTGCACCCCAGGCCACAGTCGCCACAATGCACTGGCTTCTCTCCCTTAAAATCTCTCCAAAATGTCTGAGGCCCTCCTGATGCAAGTGGCATAAGAACAATGTCACACTGAACAAGAGACAGGAAACTGCAGGAAGGGAAAAAAGAGAGAAAACAAAAGAAAGTGAGGAAAGAGAAAAGAGGAGAGAGGACAGGACACAGGGAGGGAACAAAGGAAAGCAGGAGGAAAACTTCATTAACCTAAGCAGGAGTGGCTGAAAGAAAAAGAACACCCGCCAAGCCACAGAGGTGAGGCTTTCCTTTTCAAAAACCCCATACATTGAAGCAGTAAGCCCGAGTTGACTAAAAACACAAAGCAACAAAAGCACTAGATTGGCAGAGTCTGGTCTCCAGCTTCTCCACTGAACAGTCGTCTGCCTCGGAGCTACTTATGGCTTTGCTTGCGCTTCTCCAAGTCAGGGCTGGACACTGGGTTTCTGAGCAGATGTCAAGAGAAGTGGAGGCGTCTGTAGGAACTGTGTTTGCGAGCAGTGAGACCCTGAGCACGCAGCCACCCGTGCTCACCTGAGGTGCCCGGCTGGCAGTTGCACTGGTAGCCATTCACAAGGTCGATGCAGCGCCCGTCGTTCAGGCACGGACTGCTGTAGCACTCGTCAATCTGGTCACTGCAGATGGCGCCCATGTACCCAAGGTTGCAGATGCACGTGTAGGAATCGATCCCATCCTGGCACTGGCCATGATGGCAGGGATCGGGGTCACAGTTGTCGATGTTCTCTTCACACAACAGACCGGTGAAACCTGGGGGAGGATGTGACAGAGAAATCATGAGAGCCGAGGTAGACACGGTGCACCTCACCCCAAGGGCAGTTCATCCATTCACCACACGGGGAACAATTAGAATGGCCAGTGCGGAGAGTGACTCAGAGAGCTCCTTTGAGAAGGGCAGCCTGGAGATGCGCGCCCTACCTGAAGATTCCCGGTCAAAGCTGCAGAAAAGAAGCACCTCGGTGACCAAAACTGATTTCCTTTTAAAAGCGCTTTGTTCTGAGCTGCTTTTTACTGGTCGGCAAGAGAATCCTCTAAATGCCTGCCTTCTTGCTTGTGTCTGGATTCCCGTCCTCCCAAGCCCAGCCCACAGGTACAAATTAATGCTTTTGTGCATCTTCTCTCCCAGTTCTGACTTTGAAGAGCACAGACTATTTCTTCATTCCTGTCGATCCCTCTCAGAGTGCTGTGTGTGCATATGAGGTTTTTAATAAATGCTCAGTGAATTCACTGAGTGGACCAGGTATGAGCATTTAATTGAAAAGGAGCGAGCAAGAGTTCCTGCATGCAGGGCTACATCACAGGCGTATTCCACCTTGTCCTACGGAGCTGCATGAGGCCTCTCACTGGGGTTGCTCATGAGTCCGAGGGGTCTGGTCTCTCCTCAGGGGAAGCCTGTGCTCCACAGGAAGAGTCTGACCTGGGAAGGCAAAGCCTGCAGCTTCTCCAAGGAACACAACAGTCTGTAACAGAAATGCAAGCGCAGGGTCTCTCTGGAGATGGTCCCCCCTAAGTAAGGCTAACAGTGGCCATATTAAATTTCTGGATGATCTGGGGACTAAGTTTCCTTTTCTGTGGTGATAAACTGCACTATGTCTGTAATCCTTTAAGAACCCATTCTCTAAAATAACAGTGCCCTGAGATATATTCCTAACATCTTTCCCAAGCAGACATATAACAGAGAAAATCACATTTCCTAGTATTTCTAGGCTTTCTCTACTGACCTGCAGAGCAGCAAATGCATAATGGGGACATGTGGCTCAATGAAGCCCACTCCCAAGAGAAATGTGACCAGAGATCAAGTCATGTAGCACAGTGAACAGATCCTTTCGGATAGTAGAAGCGAAAGTCAGCAAACAGCCCCACGCTTTCCCAGGTACAGCTCTCCTGGCAGTTACATGCCTGATTCCAAAGAAGTCACTCATGAGGTACAGAAAACTACTGCAGAAACACACACTCAGCCCTCCAACTCTCAGCCACAGCCCCTGGAGACACACAGACCCCCTGCAGAAAGCCCAGACACCAACTTTTTTCCACAGAGATCCACAGAGAAGGCTCTTTCCCAATAGAGTTGGTAAAGCCAGCTGCAAACTCTGCTACCCACGTCGATCCAGAACAACACGGGCACCAGTGGGAGGTCCTGGCCTGCCCACTGCCTTTGTGGAGGAGGGAGGTGCAGGAGGAAGAACCACAGTAACAGAGAAAGCAGCCAGCAGTTCTCCCCACTGGACAGCACCTGCCCGTGAGGGTCAGCAGAGCCCTCTCTGTGTTCTCCAGCAGAACAGCGGGCAGAGGAAAGTCGCCGCACTGTGCAAAGAGCTCTCCCAAGGGCAGCAAGGTGAGCAGGCTCTCACCTGTGGCGCACTGGCATTCGTAGCCATTCGGGTGATCGATGCACTTAGCCCCGTTGAGACACGGAGTGCTGGAACAGTCGTCGATGTCAATCTGGCAGACTGGCCCCGTGAAACCTTGAAGAGGGACAGGGGTACACAAGTCAGAGACCGGCTGTGCCCTTCTTCACCGACAGGTTGATGCCGCTGGGTGGGAAAGGCCCCAGCAGGGCAAACGTCGGGAGGATCACCCGACAATAAGAGCCTCCAGCATGCAACTTGGACCCCTGGAGGAGGATCCTGTCAGAGGCTCTTTTCTCTCCACTTCCGCTCTCACCTCAGGAGAGAAACTGCTAAGATACATCGGGCAGAGCCTCACACAAGGGACTACACCTCAGAGGCAAAAGGGCACCTGTCTAAAGGAGACAGGTGGCATGCCTTCAACGAGAGCATCAAAATACAAGGGACAGACAGGGTCTCGGGGAAAATCTTAGTGTTCGTTGTCTGTATGGTCTAATGAATTAAACTATGTAAAAATAGTTTGGTTTTTTTTTTTTCCAAGCTGATTAATAGGACATTTTCCATAATTAATACATTGTACATTGTTATCTTCTCAGAGGTCATCCACAGCACAAGAAGCAGCCAGCACATCCCATCCAAACACTACTACTACAAATTCTTCCTCTCACTGAACCAAGCAAAAGCAGCCATACATCTATGCTAACTATTCTGTATATTCAAATACAAAATGGTCCTTCCTCTGTATCCCCCTCTCCAGTTCAGTCCTGTCAGAGATGGGTATTCTATTGGCATCTAAATATTATAGGTGCTTGAATTCAGCAAGACAATCCAACACAGTCCAGCAGTTAAACTATGCAAAAATAGTCATCTCACAGAGGGGCTTCCTTAACATGATCTGTGGGGGAAACTCAGATCCAAGATGGCCTGGAACTTCGGCTCCTGTGAGGGTGAGTGCCAGGCACAGACACACACGGTCAGGACCATGCAAGGCCAGGTGTGGACCTGGGGCAGCCAGCCAACACAGCTCCACACACAGCTCTCAGCAGGAGCCACTTTCAAGCTCCCTCCCACAGCCCCACATATTCCCTCCCTGCGGCCTGCGGGCTGCGTGTTACGACGGATAGGAGGGTGGTAGGCACTTACCAGGGGGACACAGGCACTGGAAGCGATTCACTTTGTCCACACACTGCCCACTGTTCACACAGGGGTTGCTCTGGCACTCATTTATCTCTATTTCACAGTGTACACCTTTGAAACCTGCACAAAATGCACCACACACAGTTCAGAGGCACAGCAGGGCATAATCCAGCAAACAAAATAAAAATGTGTGGAGATGCACGTGACTTCTATGAGCATCAAAATTTCTGTCAAGAGAAAGGGATTTTGCCATGATGGGAACCAGTCCATAAAACGGGCATAAGAGTGGACACTGCGATAGACTGTGATCAGAGCAAAGATGAGTGACTTCCAAAGACACTGATGGGCCAGGGAGACAGCTCAGCCATCTAAGTGCCTGCCTGGCAAGCGCAAGGACCAGGGTTCCAGCCCCTGCACCAGACCCTGAAACCCCAGGCATGCCATGCTGGTCACTGAAACCAGGCATGGTGGTGTATGCCTATAATCCCAGCGCTGGGGAGGCTGAGACAGGAGGACCACTGCAAGTCTATACCAAATAAATAAATAAAACATTAAAAAAAAAGAAAAAAAGACGCTGAGGGGCTTAACCTGCAAACAAAGACATTTCCATCTTTTCTGTGGCCAATCCTTTCTGGACTTTCTGGACAATGCTGACCCCAGTGGATTCCTACTTATCCTAAGGATCGGCTGCTTGAAGCTTCTGTTGCTCACAGAGTGTAGGTCTAAGTCTGGAGGGCCTTCCAAGACCAGAGTGGCTGGAATCCATCACTGGGCACAGCAGCTGCCCTCAACCGTCCCTTTAAGTGAGACATAGCTGTGTCCTTGACAATTAAAAACGGTCTCTGCAGAACACCATTAGACTGGTGCTGCACGCCAGCTAAGTGGAAATTTCCTGTGTCATTGTGAATAAAATCCCTTTCTGTAAGTATTTATAATTTAGCAAACTTGCTACTTGGGATTCTTAGGGTAAATTGCTTCTGAAATTTTCTATCACATGCATTTGGCTTCTGACATAGTTGGCTTCACACAGCTATAGGGATCCAGCACTACTTATGGAGCTCCCTTCTACAACCGAGGGGTCTGCCCAGGAGCCTGTCCTCCAACGGCACAGTCAGCCCAGGGAATAAAAAGCAGTCGCCACCTTCTCCCAGGCCAGTGAGAAAGTTTAGCTGACTAAGCACCCGATCAGGAAAGCACAGAGACCTGGGTTCGTTCCCTGGCACCACCTGCTATGCTGGGAGCAGTCTGAGCCAGCCACCGAGACTGGGTGTGGTATGCACACCTATAATCCCAGCACTGGGGAGGCTGAAAACAAGAGGATCACTATTAGTCCAAGCTGCATAGTGAGACCCTGTACCAAATACATCAAATAGATGATTGACAGATACGTAGCTAGACAGATAGCTAGATAGATAGACAGAGAAGACAGACAGACAGACAGACAGACAGACAGACAGACAGACAGACAGACAAAAGCAGCCCCCGAGCATGTACTGCAGCAGTTCCCGAGGCTCCCAAGCCATCCAGGGCACCCCTCCTCATGCAATCACTGTGGGTCCTCTCACCTGGCATGCACAGGCAAGTGAAGCCACCTATCTTATCCAGGCAGGTGGCATCGTTCTGGCAAGGGTCAGAGTGACATTCGTTGATGTCCATCTCGCAGCGAGGCCCCGCGTAGCCCCTCAGACACTCGCAGTGGAAGGCGCCGTCTGTGTTCACACACTTCCCCGCGTGCTCACAAGGATTGCTGTTGGCTGCAAGACACAGGCCCTCGTTACTGAGGCCCTAGCACCCGCCAGAGCTTCCACAGTTGTGGACTCCAGAGAGCTCTGCTGGCTACTCCGGGGCCTGGCCTGTGATGAGCCTGCTCACTCCCAATTTTCTCCTTTCTTCCTTGATTTGAGGAAAGAAATAAGACAAAAGTAATCCCCACTGGTGTACCTTTCCGTTGTTCTGCTGTCTAATGTCACAGAGCTAGGACTTTATATTAAGAATCAAGAGCAGGTCTTCCTTCCATGTATTTAGTTCCCAGAAGGGAGTCTATGGTCATGCTGAACAGGCTGGCAGCCATGAGCAGGGGAATCTGAGGTCTGGGTGTAGCGTGTTCCCGGAGTACACTATGCTCCTGGGGAGCCGATATATACTCTAAGCAAGGAGAAGAGCACTGCACTCACTCATGGCGCATTCATCCACGTCTTCTGTACAGTCAGCTCCTTTGTAGCCCTGTGGGCAGGTGCAAATGTAGTGCCCATTCAGAGGGTTGGTGTCACACAGCGCCCCCTTGTGGCAAGGATTGCTGATGCAGGCATCGTCCAGATGGCATAAGAGACCTAGCACAGGGAGGGGATGGAGGCGGGGGAGAGGCAAAAGGAAAAGAAAACGCGTCTCTCACTTGGAGAAGAGTTTTGTCTTTCACCAAGGAAGGGAAAGCTTATGAGTAGTTACTTAAAGCCCAACACTAAGATTCAGAGTCGATTTCCCCTCTGCCTGATGTACCTCAGGGACACAGAGAAGGCAGCAGCGAAACAATTTGGTGCTACCAAGAGCCCTTAGCTGTACCCTCCCCCCCGGGTGGACACGTGGGACACGACAGAAAATCGGAAGGAAGACATGAGAAAATTGGCGCATCCTCTGTAGGAAGCGCCTGATTTCACAGATAGAAGAAGAAGATACCCAGTTAAATCTGCATTTCTGGAAAACAAGGAGTGTTTGTATGAAAGTGTCTGAAACAGTCTAAGCCGCCTGCATTTTATCCGCTATCTTTCTTTACTCGTGTCCCACTCCCTGATGATTACGGTCCCATCAGAAGAAGACAGCGATGAAATGACCACCGCCAGCCTCTGCTAGCGCAGCCCTTCGGGAGCACCGGCACGGCAGCCTCAGGTGCCTCCGCAGCCGGCAAGACACCGCTAGTCTTCCTGATCTTCGGGGCTTTAGTGTGAACTGCGCTTTGCACTCAGCAATTAACTGAGGCTTCTCTCATAAAAAGAGTGTGACTTCAGAAAGGGAGAAACACATGAACATTTCAAAACTTTGGGGCAGAAAGGTCTTTCAGCTTAACTACCCTCTCCCATCCCATCGGTCCCCACGCTGCTCTTCCATCCCTAGGACTGGAAGCTATTAAAGCGAGAGACGGGGCCAGGGTGCCAGCTCAATGGCCTAAGTGTCTGCCTGGCAAGTGCAAGGTGCGGAGTCTGATCCCTGGTACGGCATGAACAACAACGACAACCGAGAGGCTGGAGCACAGTGAACTGGGTAGTCAGGAAGTCCTCTCCCTCACAGGAATATTTTCATAGACACAGAGAGTTGAAATATATTTCAGGGCTTCTCCTGCCAACTTCTGAGAAAATGGATTATTCCTTTTTAAAATGAAATCTGTGAATCCATTTATTTGTCATCTAGTCTGAATTTTTTTCCACTCCTAAGTCTTAAAAGAGTTTTGCAGAGCTCCAAAGACCACAGCAGCTAGCTTTCAGTTTCTGGAATAAAAAAATCAATAATACACGGAACTGAGATGAGAGACGAAAGTCCTACAGAAGGAGACTGCCTTCACCGCGGCAGCAGCAGGGTCCTGCGGGATGCCTCTCACAGAGGAGTATTCACAGTGCACAGCTGCCAGACCAAAGAGAAGGCAGGGCCCGGTGCGCTTCCCCTCCCACTGCCTAGGCCCAGTCCCACCCTGCGGAAGGCTCACCTGCCTTCCCCTCGGGACACATGCAGGAGAAGGAGGCCACGCGGTCGATGCAGGTGGAGCCCGGCGTGCAGGACGCGAAGGCGCAGTCGTCGATGTTCTCGCTGCAGTCGTTTCCGCTCCAGCCGTTCACGCACACGCAGCCATAGCCCCCGTTGCGGTTGGTGCAGGTGCCTCCGTTCTGACAGGCGTTAGGCTGCAGCAGGCACTCATCCACATCCTCTGTGCAGAATTGCCCTTTGGGAGGAGAGAACCTTGGATGAGGGGACTCAGGTCTCAAAGGATGTGCATCGCACCTGCTCCTGCGCACTCCTTACTGCCACGTGCCCTGTTTCCAGCAGTCCAGGCCTTTGTGGGGATCTTAAGGCCACCTTCAGCCAAATGATATTTGTTCCAAGCAAGTCATCTAAAGAAGAATACTAACTGCTATCCCCAGTGACTGTGACGTGACAATTCAGCCTTCCCACCGATCAGATCCTTTACTCACTTAAACCCCAGGGAGAAGGTCTAAAACACATGTAAGGAGAAGAATTAACGAGAGAGAATCCAAGTATCAAAACACTAGAGCAACTGTTCTGGGTTGTATCAATGTCAATGTCCCGGTTGTGACACTGTGCAGTAGTTTTGCAAAACAATCTTACTATTGGGAAATACATGGTAAAGAGTACTGAGTATCGCTCATCAGTTCTTACAACCATGTATGGAACTGTAATTATCTCAGAGTCTACAGTTTGCAAAATGTTAGGGCAAGCAAGGCTAGAAATCTTCAAAGAGATGAAGAATAAAGAAAATCTAGTAAAGTGTGGCTATATAAAAGGCAAGGCCAAGAAGAGTGAGAGTGGAACAAACTGTGCTGAGCGTGAGGTACAAAGTCCGTCCAGTGTAACAGGAAATGGGAAAAGGACCAGTCTGCTCGGCCTGAAACAGAACATGATGATAACCATCAGACCAGAGAGGCGATCCGGGCCACTGCGACAGCGATGGTGGGACCATGGCTGCAGCCAGCCAGCAGGGAACAAGACTTACAGTCCCTGCAACCCAAGAGTTGGTGATTAACAAAAGCAGTTTAGTGCCAAGCTGCCCAAGCTGTAAAACGAACAAATGCATTTGTCATAGTTGGGGGTCCTTACAAATTAGAAAAGAAACTAAAATTGAGATCATCTGAATGCTCTAAAATATGACAAGCTGCTGAATCTCAAAAAATATTGTGCTGCATTGGCCAAGCATTGGCTGTGACTCATCCACATGGCTGCACTGATAAAGGTTCTACAATCTGAGGTATAGGATCTCAGGACAAATCCTGAGGGCATTTCACTGACCTTCTCAGACCAAAAAGCTACAACTCTTGTTGCATAGGTCCTGCTTTGCCTTGGTCTTAACCATCCAGCAGAAAAGTATGAAGACGAAATTATAAGAAATAAAGCCATGCTGTTAAGTTGAGCTGTGGGGGACTCAGGTCAATAATTTCTGACATTGCCAGTTAAACAGAAGACCCAATGCTATTATGGGCTACTGGACTCTTTTAGAATATTTTGCTGAGTTTACACACCTATAATATTCAATAACAAAACTTAGAAAAAATGGGGTATACAGATGAATGTCCATTTTGTATCTGTGTATTCAAAGTGGTTGGGATAGATATATAGTTACATTCTGTTAATGAATAGAATGATTTTTTCTAATGGTGTTTGTAAATAGGATCACAAGTCTGCATCTTGTACAGCAATTAACCACTAAGAAGAATATATGCAGTGTATTACTTGTTGAAAAATAAAAAAAAAAATAAATTAAAAAAAAATATTGTGCTGTCCTTCATTCTTCCTTTGTATAAAACAATACACACGGGGGAGGGGGGGTGTGGTTTTTCACACTATAATCCCGGCACCAAGAGAGCTGTGGCAGGAAGATCACCAGGAGTTCAAAGCCAGCCTGCGCGACATAGTGAATTCAAGACCGGCTACATGGTGAGACCCTAACTCACAAAAAAACAACACTCAATGATTAATTCATAAAAGCAGTCAGATGAAGAATGAAAATGTACATAAAATTTGTACCCAGAAAATGCCCCAGCTACCCCTGATCCCCAACACCTAATAAATCAACTGAGTGTGCATTTCAAGAAGGCCTAGCATGGCCAGCCACAGAGCCCCCACTGCTGGCAGATGGGAGCTGAATCCACCTAATCTAACTGAATGTCACTTCCTTACTTCTGTGCCTCTGCGGCTACAGTAGAGTCAACATCACTCGGCCACCTGTATTGTCTGCACACCTATCTCTCTCCCCACTTGGCTGCAAGCAACTTCAGTATAGAGACCTTGTCTCAGAAAATCCAGCACCCAGCACGGCAGGATAGGCATGTGAGGTCTCTGGACCTCTGTGTTCTGCTCCTCCTTGTACTGCATCCATACAGTGCCTAAAAGAACTGTCAGGCTGTTATAAATCCACACTCTCCATGCCACCACTGATGACCCAGGATCCCAGACAGGCTCCAAACCAAGTTGCAGCACTCAGAACACTGTCACAGGACCCAAAGGATGACATGGCTTGTTTTGCAAAGAACATGATAGGGAGAGAAATCAGAAGTGCATGGAGAGAAAAATAAAATCACAGTAACAATAAAATTGTTGGTCCCTCTTGTTCCTGAAGTCCAATGCTCCTGAGCCCACTTTGAGACATAGCTGTTCTAAAAGATGTCACCTGTAAAAGGTTTTCATAAATTGAGATGCAGTTCTGCCAGCTGCAACTCACAGTCTTGCCTAATACAGAGCAGGGGAGGGAGGCACAGGGGGAAGGAGGAGTGAGAGCGAAGTCGTGAGTGAAGGAGTGAGATGCTGAGGGAGTCAAGCGTCAATCAGTGAGTGGATGGTGGTGGCAGTGAGAGAGGAAATGAAAGAATGAATGAGATAACAAGGAAGGGAGAAAGGAAGAAAGCAAGGAAGGGAGTGAAGGAGAGGGGGAGGTGGATGCAGGGAGGAGGGGAGGGCACGAACTCAAGAGTAGTCATTTCCCCAAGGGCAGATGATGTCACCAAAGAAAACTCTGCTCTTCTACTAGCAAAATGCCACTTCAAAGTCATGACAGCTGAATTACTAGGATGCAGGTGGGATTGAGAAACAAATATATGAGCAACAGGTAGGTGAAGAGCTGTTGTAACCCGGAAACTGAGTCTTGCCTACTGTATGGACTCACACTATCTTAAATACCTAAGCTGCCTCCAAAATGTGCTTACAGAATGACACCAAGTTAGCTGATATTTTTCTTCATTGAGGCTCTATAACAAAGCTGAGTATAAGGTACTATGTCTTTAAAAGTACTTCATTTACATTTCTTCTGCGTTATACCACCCAGCCGCTGAAACACTACTGTAAATATGCTAATTAAATAAATAAGTAGACTAGGTAAAATAGTATTTCCTCAAATGTGGCACTCTTGCAAGAAGACACCGGTGGCCACAGATTGCTTATAGTGCCTCAGCATTCTCTCTCATTCTCTCTCTCTCCCCCCGACACACACACACACACACACACACACACACACACACACACACACACACACCCCTCAGGAAACAGGACCAGTGTGGCACAGTAACATGCTCCATGAGGCAGTGGGTGCTGAGGCTGTTTTACTCAAGAACTGTGAACAAAGACTTCAGGTGTAGACCTGACTATATCAAGCTACTTCTCCACAAGCTACTTCTCCACATCCTGTCTTGCCCCGAGTGCACACAGCTATGTGGAAGGGGAGGGAATGGAGGAGGTGGAGACCAAAGTCAGGGCCCACATGACGGGATTACCGGAAAACTTAGAACTGCAAACTACTGTCCAAAATGGAAATGCACTTTTGGGTTATGGTTCAGTTTTGCAGTAAGACTGGTGAGTGAAGAATTCTGTATGAACTGGTTTGTGACGAACCATGAATGTCAGACACTATGCATTAAAGACATGAAACATAGAGATCTGAGAACATCCTGGCTACAGGATGTATCACTTTCTTTCTCAGGTTCAGGGACACTTCTTCCGAAAAATGTTGCCTCCCCGTCTCATTTCTGCCAAATTTTTGCCCCTTATTACCAACCAATTAACCAATTCTAAAATTTAGAATAGTGAAAACAGTAATCAGAGAGGCTACAATTCCCTCCAAAATTCCCAAAGGAATGTGTAAGATACTGTACTTTTCATATCCCCACCCTGTTGGAAGAGAACCAGCGTTAAAAGCTCAACATTCAGGAAAAGAAGGGTCATCAGAGATGTAGCTCAATGGGAAGAAATCCTCACTTCCAGCATGCGTAAGACCCCGGGTTCAACCTCCAGTAGTGCAGAAACAGAATATATTTAGTTGTGCTTAACGGGAAAAAAAGAAAGAAAAAGACAAAGCATAAGAGGGAGGAGGAAGAGGGAAGAGAGGAGAAAAATAAAAGCCCAGAAAGGAAGTAATCTTCTCAAGTTTGCAGAGTCGGTAAGTGGGAATGTATCATTCAAACCCTGATCGGTCTGACTCTAATCTGACATCCTTTGAAGCAGCATGGCTGATTACACAGCCCGATTTTGTTCAAGAGCTACAGGCCAAGGCCCTATCCTGGGACAAACCGCACACTACGAAAGCACAGGTGCATTATGCAGAGTCTAAAGAGGGTCACAAGATACCAGAACAGGAAAAGTTCACCATGATTCCATTCAGATAATGGCTGCACCTTGGCTTTTGGCTTTTCTCACTGCCGCATGGCATGAAGACAGTAGCCTGGACTGGAGGAATCAGGCCCACCACAGGATGAAGTTATAGTTAGGTCTAGACAGAAGGTAACGAAGTATGCAGTATACTATTTGGCTAGGATTTTAAGGTAGAAAAGGTTGAGGGGTCTGGGGATTCGAACTTGAATATGAATCCTGAACTTGCTATGCCAGTGGAGGAAGACATGGTCAACACTGTGTCTGAACACCAGACAGATGGTAGAATACAGGAGGGAGGACGTGCCGAAGAGTCTGTGTGAAGGGACGGCAGGAGAGAGCACTAGGTTATGAGCTACCTAGCAAATAAAAGCATGTGGTGAAGAGGGGGAGCATTTAGACCATGCTACTAAATCTTCAATCCAGACAAGTCTCAGCATGCACCACCATCATCATCTGGGTCAACACAACTGTGCCGGTGAACTCCAAAAACAGGTTGCACAATGCTCGGTTAGGCAAGTTTTTAGGATAATAATTATCCCACTGAGTAATTTCTTCCTGTAGCCACTACAG